CTGATGTAATTTGGACATCCGCCGCCTCAGCCAAAGGCCTGGTGGAACAGCTCCCATTTTTGCAGGCCCTGCGGGACTGTGATAAATCCCGCAGGGCCCTGATCTCAACCGGAAGCTGAAAAAGTCCTGGCCCTGGTCGAGGCAAGGCAGACGCCCTTCAGGCTGGGGCACCTCAGGGCACATATGGGAAGATCTGAATTGTCATCAGCTGCCAGAAGACTCAGTACTGAATTATAGTGTTTGCTGTGTATGCAGGTTAAGTTCATCTTTGGCAAGTCTTGATTCAATACTCAGATAGTGGGTTGGAGCCAAAGTACCAGCAGCAGTACTCATCTAATGGAAATTTGGTGTCTCTGTCCTCCCGACGCAAGTCATTGACCTCCCAAAAATGTGTTCCTGAGGGATGGGAGCCTCAAGAAAAACACTGGGGGAGGCAAAGTGGACATCTGCAGTGGAAGTGGGAAAGAAATGGGTGGAAATGACTCTCCCACTGTTGGAAGTATCACATTAGCAGAAAATGATATTTATCGGTATCTGCAGCTTTTCTCCAGTAAGGATGAATTTTTGCAGATACATACAACATATGTAAAATGTTGGTATTATCTGAGTAATAAATATTTGAACTCTCCCTAGAAGCTAAAATGACTAAACTGAGGCTACGATGCTTTCATTACATTGTGAGAAGACAAGATTCACTGGAAAAGACAATAATGCTAGAATTGAAGGCAGCAGGAAAAGAGGAAGACCCACCATGAGATGGACTGACTCCATCAAGGAAGCCATGGCCCTCAGTTTGCAAGACTTGAACAAGGCTGTTAATGATAGGACATTTTGGAGGCAATTCATTCATAGGATTGTCATAAGTCGGAAGCAATCTGATGGTGCTTAACAGAAATAAATGTTTGGTGATTGAACACCTTTACTGAGTAAGAGTGTTATACTATGACTGAATTAAATTTTGTAGATCAGCATGGACAGAGGCATCAAAGCATGTCTTATATAACCATGGTTCATAGACGTGACCGTAGGATGTGTGTGAAAACATTTAAAAATGTTATCCTCCACCTGTAGTTAGTCCAAGTGCAATCCATTCTGTGACTAGGCCTTGTTCTTCTAACGACTTGTTCTCCTACACGTGTAGATCCAGGTTAAATTTATTTGTTAGGGGTTAGTTACTTGGTGTCTCCAAGTAGGGTTGGGTTGGACATGTGGAGATTTTGGTCTTGATCTTCTCTGAAGTATATAGTAATAGTAAGGAATGTTATGTGACAAATTTTCCGTTTTATTTGGATGTACTAGAGAAGAAGACAAGACCCCTAAGGTTCTGTATGACCATCTAGTCTTGTATAATATGGGTGCTGCTATTCCACAGCCTTAAAGAGAAAGGTGTACAAAAATGTGATGTTAACAGGAGGCTTGGCAAATAAGCATCAGGAAGGTTTAGTTTAGTCTAAAGAAGAAACAGTAGGAATCAAAGCATAAAGCAGCATTCTGTTCTTGGGTTTTGAAAGCAGAATATATATATTTTCCCCCCTCTAGAAATCACTTGTAACTTTAGGTGGCATTCCCAGTATTAATCTACTGCTTCAATATCTGTTCAGCTTTCTTATCTGGCTCCAGGGTATTAGGTTCTTTTACAGCAGAGCCATTTAAGTTTTTTTAAAAAATCTGAATATGTTCCCACACTAGTTCTTCAGTTCTGCATAAAGTGATAACTTGATTGCAAATTAATTTTTTAAAGATTTTTTTCAATGAAGACTCTGTTTTTAAGTTAGGAAAAGTGAATACTCAGGATGCAGCAACTAGGTGCAAACACATTTTTGTTTGCCTGTCTCAAGATACATTAATGTTCTCTGATGTTGAATGTGACTCCATGGTAAGAGAGAAGGAAGCCAGTAGGTAGTTAAGCTGTAAGTAAACTGAGTCAGATAGTGCCCTCCCAGTTGACAAAAGGGTCTGAGCTTTTAAAATTGTCATAATGGGTTTTACTTACTTAAGTGTTCCCCTACCAAAATGTAAGCCCTCTGTACTTTTATTTACACCAACGTGTGAATACACACATACAGAGAAGAGTGTATGTTCTCTTAGTAGTTGAGAAGGGCTGTGGCTCAGTGGTATAACATCTGCTTGGCAAGCAGAGGGTCCCAGGTTCAATCCCCAGGATCTCCAGTAAAAAATGACCAGGCAGTAGGTGTTGGGAAAGACCTCTGCCCGCGATCCCGGAGAGCCACTGCCAGTTAGACTAGACAGTACTGACCCCTGATGGACCAAGAGTCTGATTCAGTATAGGGTGGCTTCATGTATTCATGTGAGAACTCCCTTCAGTTCAGTTGGAGCCTTGCGGTACCTTGAAGAGTAACAACATTCTATTCTTGCATAAGTTTCCAAGGACTATTTTTTTTTAAGATGCCACAAAGCTCCTGCTTATTTTTGGTGCAGCAACCTAACATGGCTACGTGTCTGGAAGTATTCTCAATTAGGCTGCCGGTCGTTTTATAAGAAATGTCTCTCTCTTTTTTCTTGTTGTGCATGTGCGCATGTGCACACTGGACTTGCTTTCTCTTTATATATACATAGAGAAAGATGTGTAAAAACTATGGGGGAGGGGACAGTTTGAAACTTCTCCTTTAAGGATTATATCAGCAGTTCGGAGTGGAGGAGGCTGATTCCGCCCGTGCGCCCCCCCCCCCAGCACACAGCTGACTCCAAACATTTTCCTGCATGCTCAGAGTCCTCAGAATATGTAGAAAGCCCTGGCTCATCAGTGGATGGCCAGCAATGCTGCTTTTGTGACTGACATTGGGGGGGGGGGGAACAGCCAGTATCTTATTAGTTATACTGATCCTTGCCAGAGGGTGTAACTGTCCCCACCCCAGCATGAGACAATGAGTCTCAACATTTGCCAGCCAGTATCTATGGGGAAAGGTAGACAGGCTTCAAGCCACAGCATCATCTTCAGAGGAGCAGTCCCCACCCCCGCATCTTTTCTAGGCATCTTCCGGTGACAGGTACTGTCAACAGTAGCAGTGTACTAGAGGGGAGAAGTATAGAAACATCCATGGGGCCCCACCGATGTCTGTTTTTAAAAAAAATGAGAAAAGCTCTTTTCTTTCTTTCCACCTGGTAAACCAAGGCCTCTTGCATACGCGTGTTGGTTGCATTTCTTCGGTTTGTGCCCATATACATCCCTGGTGCCAAGACAGGAGCCGGAGGGTTTAAAACAGATTTCATGAGCTAGGAGTGACTCGGGAATGCCTTTGAGATTCTGGAATAGCATGTCAGCAAGCAGCATCCCACCTGGGATAGGAATCCTTCCTGATTTTTAAAGGGGGGGGAGGGGTACTGCCTGTTTTCATGCTCATGCAGCAGTGGTTGCTGGGTCCTAGTGCATTAGTTGCCAGCACAGAAAAGTTTCTTGCCAGATGCCACAGTTGTAGAAACCGTCGTCTGTACTTGAGATGCGCCTTTCTCAGCACCTTCTGTATTTCTGTTGACTTACTGATTGCACAGTTTGTTCAATCGACAGCTGATCAGGCTTTTCGCCCACTGAGTTGTGATGACTGCCTCTTCAGCTGTTGGCCTGCAAACCGCAAAGAGGACTTTGACAGGACAAACACAGTGCACTGGTCTTGTTGGGTGAGCTGCTGATTTCTTTGCCGCACCCAGGATCAAATTGCACCATATTGTTAGAGACCATTGGGGAGGCCCCCCCCCCGCCTATTCCACTTCCTTAATATGCCCTCCCCTGCCTATTCCACTTCCTTAATATTTCAAGTGAAAACTATCAGTTAGCAGGCTGCATTTCGTGAAACTGGCTTCATTTTTTAAAGATTGTGTTTAGATTCTGTGGTCTAGACATAAAAGTGCATAGAAGGCAATGGAGCAAGGCCCACACCTCTCTCTCGGCTCCCAGCAACTTTTGTCTTTGCAGCTATTATGGGAATCACTCCGTCCACATATCCTTTTGGCAACTCGGGTTGGGGCCTGCCTGGCTGGATTTGGCTCAGAGGTCTCCAGTGGCTGATCCTAATTAGAAACCTAAAATCCTAATTAGAAACCTGGACATTTTTCCCTGGGAAAGAAGAAGAAAGGTGGTGGTGGAGAGATTGCAAGGGCAGTATTTTGGAGGAACAAATATCTGAAAATGTTACATATTCTGCAGTGTTTGAGAGTCCTTTTCTAACAGCCACTTCTAAGATTCTTTGCCTGATTTATAGTCCAGACAAACCCAGTAGCAATGTTATCATTTCGGATACTTAATGGATTGAGTCTGAAGACTCCCTGTCTCTGACAGAAGAAATCTTACTGGAAGAATATCCATGAAGTGAGCTCACTGTTTTTGGCTGTGGAAGTTTAGAAATTGTGTAATTGGCTGTGTACCAGTATTATTTCAGAACACTACTTTATAAAGTAGTCTACTCATTGTTTTGAAATAGTTTCTCATTCATTAGAGATTTGCACTTTCCCCATAAATTTCCTAAATATTTTGATTCCCCCCCCCCCCAGACCTTCAGAATTCTAATCCTGAAGTTAGGAGTCGGGGAGATTCCATGCGAAAACATTGATTGAGACTAACATTGGGCTTTAAAAATCCCATGACTACTTAGGTCAAATGAGAAATGCCTCCAGATGACCCGGGGGGTGGTGGTGACTTTTAGAAAAAGGATATGATTTCCTTTGGTATTGGCCACAAACTAATGTGGGCCAACTCACTTTTAACCCTTTGTAGGTCACAGATCAAGATGGGTAGTCATGTTAGTCTGTATGTAGCAATAGAAAAGAGCAAGAGTCCAGTAGCACCTTAAAGACTAGCAAAATTTGTGGCAGGGTATGGTCACTACTCACTTCAAAGTTTTGTTGGTCTTCAATGTGCTATTGGACTCTTGCTCTTTTCTACCTTTGTAGTTCAATTTTTGCAAAGCTAGACTAATAATTTGTGATTTCTTTTTTTTTTTTTTTTAACAGCGAAACCATTTACACAGTTGGTGAAGGAAATGCAACTACACCGGGATGACTTTGAAATTATAAAAGTAATTGGCAGAGGTGCATTTGGTGAGGTAAGTTTTTTTTAAAAAAAACAACAACAACACTCAGCTTTAGATGCTTTACCTAATCAGATGAAATGAACTCTGGCCCACAAGAGTTTATGCCACAATGAAGTAATTAATCTTCAGGGTACCACAGGCTGTACAAACATAGCCATCCTTCTGGAATCTGTAAGTAATCTGTGGTTGTCATAGAGGAAATGGATTTGGGACCAGAAGTGTACAGTAGAGGAATGCAGGCAAAGAGCCACAGTGACACATTGCTTGAATTGACAGGTAAACTGACCAGGACCATTAGAAACCTAGAGAAGTATTAGCTTTTACTGGTGGGAGTATTGTATGGAAAATATGAAGTAAGGATTCAGTTTCAATCATTATCTATATTGTCAGGGGTACAGTGTTTGCTAATTTGGCTGTTATCTTTGAACATGATATCCAGAGAAATGGCAAGGGGACATAATGGAGAATTTTTAGACATGAAGACATAATCTCTTAAGTCTCAAAGAAATGGATCCTTTAGTGATGAATGAGGTTGGAATAAATGTTCTTAAGAGCCTCTTCAATCATACGCTATACCGTGACAAGTATTTAGATAAAGCAGGCACTCTCTCAGAGGAGAGAAGGTCTGGGCAAGTGCTTCTGCGTTCTCAGACACAGCAACTTTGCAGATAAGTAGTGTATCCCAGGAGGTCTTTGCATGCTGCAAGAATCCATGACACACTGTGGATATGCTAGAATTCCATCTGTGGCCACCAAATCCCTTTAGGTGCCCTGCAGGGGTTCTCACCACCCCCTTTTCTGGTAGCATAGTTCCCTGAAGTGCATCAGGGCTGCTGCCAAAGCTTCCCATAGTTTCTGGGAACAGTTTCTAGGCAGCATTTGCAGCTGCTTTTAAACTGAGAGGAATTCTGGTTATGTCACCCGCACACCTGCATTTGACGTATTGTATTTGCACATGGGACTTCTCTGCCTACTTTAGATTCCTGGATCCCATAAAGAGTTAAATGTGAAGAGGCACAAAACTGATTCCCATGCTTGGCTTTAGCCCATGAATTGATACTGTGTAACAGATTTATTTATTTATTTTATTTTATTTTATTATTAAATTTATACCCCGCCCTCCCCGGATGGGCTCAGGGCGGCTAACAAATGAGGCACATATGCCAAGATTAAACAGGTAAAAACAGGATAAAACAAGCAATAAAACAATCATTCATATAAAAAATACAAGTGCTCTAGATGTCACAAATAACTGATGGGGTCACACATGACAGAGTGGTCCCAGAGCGACACGGTAGACTCCAGGTGATATAGCAATCCATCCTTCCTCCCAGGGCCGTCTCGTTCCCCGGTGACACCCACTCCATTTAGCGGTGGTGGTGGTACGGTGATGGTGGTGGCTCCTACTCAAAAGCCTGGCAGAAGAGCTCTGTCTTGCAGGCCCTGCGGAACTGCGCCAGGTCCCGCAGGGCCCGGATCTCCTCCGGGAGCTCATTCCACCAGGTAGGAGCTGCCACCTGGTGATTTGTGTGTCTCTTCTCCACCTTTGATACCCTATGAAGGCCTGCCCCACTATCTCCCTTTCTCTTATTCAAGACTTTGCCTCCTCATTCAGTGATAACACTCAAAACTATCCAAAAGACAAATAAGTGCATTCTGTATCAAATCAAGCCTGAATTCTCCCTCGAAGCTGAAATGACTAAATTGAGGTTATCATACTTACTTTGGTTACATTATGAGAGGACAGGAGTCACTGGAAAAGTCAATTATGCTAGCAAAAGTTGAAGGCAGCAAGAAAAGAGGAAGACCCAACAGGAGATGGATTGACTCAATCAAGGAAACCACAGCCTTCAGTTTGCAAGACCTGAGCAAGGTTGCTAATGATAGGACGTTTTAGATGTCATTAATTCACAGGGTTACCATAGTTTGAAAGCAAGTTGACGGCACATGAGGCACACACATCCCCTTTGATTTTTGCTATATCTCTGCTCTGTCCTCCTCCTCCTCCTCCTTGGTTCCTCTCCTGACTCTGGTAACTCACCCTTTCTTGACTCTCTTCATAATCTACATTTCTGTAACTCTGTCCTCTTCTTTCTTGTCCTATTACTGGGGCACCCTTCCTCTGCTTTCCTGCATATGAGCCCCCACCCTGATCCATCTTTGGCCCTCTTCTCAGATCTATGGCTGTCTTCGGTGTAGTGGTTTGGTGTAGTGGTTAAGTGCGTGGACTCTAATCTGGGAGAACCGGGTTTGAGTCCCCACTCCTCCACTTGCAGCTGCTGAAGCCATAGTTCTGTCAGAGCTGTTCTCTCAAGGACAGTTCTAGAAAGAACTCTCTCAGCCCCACCTACCTCACAGGGTGTCTGTTGTGGGGAGGGGAAGGGAAAGGAGATTGTAAGCCGCTCTGAGACTCGAAGTGAAGGGCGAGGTATAAATCCAATCTCTTCTCTCTTCTTTATCATCTGTATGATGACTACTCAATACCAGTTCCTGAACTTACATCACCAGCTGCCTTTCAAACATACAAGAACATAAGAAGAGCCCTGCTGGGTCATATCAGTGGTCCATCTAGTCCAGCATCCTGTCTCACTCAGTGACCAACCAGTTCCTCTGGAGAGCCAACAATAGGACATAGATGTTGCCTCCTGGCTCCGGAATTCAGATGTTTAATGCCTCTGATGTGGAGGTTCCCCTCAGTCAACTTGGCTAGTAACCACTGATAGTCCTATCCTCCATTAATCTATCTGATCCCCTTTTAAAGCTGTATATTCCTGTAGCCATCACTACATCCTCTGGCAGCGAATTCCACACTTTAATTACTCTCTGTGTAAAAGAAGAAGAAGAGTTGATTTTATACCCTGCTGTTCACTGCTGATCAATATAGTCCTATTATCATTTGATATATGCATCAACTATGTATGTGAAATCATCAACTCTATGTAATATGACTAAAGCTTATTTCAAGCTCTTGTTGATGTTCTATGAAGTCTGACCAGAAGGTCAGTAGTTCAGCAGTTCAAGACCCGGGTGCCGCAAGACGGGGTGAGCTCCCGTCTCTAGTTCCAGCTTCTGCCAACCTAGCAGTTCGAAAGCAAGAAATTGCAAGTAGATAAATAGGTACCACTTCGGTGGGAAGGTAACAGCGTTCCGTGCGCCTTGGTGTTTAGTCATGCCGGCCACATGACCACGGAAACGTCTTTGGACAGCGCTGGCTCTTCGGCTTTGAAACGGAGATGAGCACCGCAACCCTAGAGTCGGATTCGACTGGCTTTCGAGCAAGGGAACCTTTACCTTTTACACCATAAATAAAAATATATTTTTGATAATATTTATCTTTAAGAAGAAGAAGAGAAGAGGATACCGGATTTATACCTCGCCCTTTACTCAGAGTCTCAGAGCGGCTTACAAACTCCTTTCCCTTCCCCTCCCCACAACAGACACCCTGTGAGGTAGGTGGGGCTGAGAGAGCTCCTTCCAGAACTGCCTTTTCAAGGACAGCTCTCGTCAGAACTATGGCTTGCCCAAGGTCATCCAGCAGCTGCAAGTGGAGGAGTGGGGAATCAAACCCAGTTCTCCTCTTCTCCTCTTCTCTTCTTCTTCTTCTTAAAGATAAATATTATCAAAAATATATTTTTGTTTATGGTGTACACAATAGCAAATATTAAAAGATTAAAACCAAGCGGTCTGACTGTGACTACTTGGAAATGAATCTTCGGGGTTAAAGGAGGAAGAATCAGTTAATGGGCTCCAATTTAATGCGTTTCTAGCAATCACCATGTTCTCAAGTGCTGTAGTGGATTACTGAAGCAGACGTATTTGTTCAGTACAAATTTCCCTTTTCTGGGTTTCATATTAAAATGTAAGACCTCTAGTGATACAGGGAATTCTGTTCTAAGATATTCTCTGTTACTGCTGGCTTTGTTCATAAGGCGAAGTCCCTAAACTCTGCTTCACATCATAGGGCATCATTCTCCTATCCTCCATTTTACCCTCTCAACAACCCCACAAGCTTCATTGGTAGAGAAAGGACTTGAACCTGGGTCTCCCAGATTCTAGTCCATTACTTAACTACACTATGCTGTCTCTCTCATAAGGCTTGAATATGGCAGATGCGATTATATCTGCATTTTCAACTTGGGTAGTGTCATCAGTTTCCTGTGTGAAGGGATGGAACATGGAACAAGAATATAATTCTGCTCTTCTCCCACTTTCAGAAATGTGTGTTTTCTTGTTTCTCTGTATAAATTCAGTGCATACCTATATTGGAGCTATTGGAGCTTTTGACAGTTTATCAGATATTTTTGATTTGCCTTCCCGGTCCAGGGAACAAGCAGTTTTCTACCCTTGATTTTACAGTTCGTCATAGTAATATTGGAGGAAGCCCATTGCTGTTATTCCATCCAGGAAAACAGCAGTGTCTTCCTATAGTTTTAATCTTTAATCTGGATAGCTGTCAACATCTGTAGTCCTTCGGATCTTAAATAGTTTTAGTTTATCTTTCAGGAATGTCTTCAGTCTGAGTAGTATTTTAGAGGCTTTTTTTAAAAAAATGGCTACATCTTAAGTGCTTTGGAATGTAACAGAATACACATTTTATGCTTTATTAAAATACTGAACAATTTAATTAAAATCATACTTGATACTTTTAAAAACAAACATTTAAACAATGTTTGCACTACCAAGCTTTGTTAATTAAATAAGCTTGGCTAGAAGGCTGAAATTAATATACATTTTATATTAAAAAATTCAAGTAATCTACACTGGCTTTTTCAAATATTCTGTACCATTTATTACAAAAGGTCAGGGTCTCCCTCCCCCATGCACTCAGAATAGGATTCTGAGGCTAATTTTCAGTTTATTGTAATATATGATATCGTTGGTGTTCTTATAAAACCCAGACTCAAAAAATCGGGGGGGGGCGGGGGGGGGGGGGGGGTGGAAGGGAAGAATTCATATAGCTAAAAACCGTTAAAGCAGAGTTGTGTAACCTGTGGCTCATGCTTCAAGTGGGTCCCATCTATCAGTGTTCTAATGTTTTACCTGAGGGAGGGTTTGGGGTTTTTGAATTGCATTACTTGCTCTACTCGTGAGCCTTGGCTGTTCGGCATTTTGGTAGTTCACTGTGTCTCACCGAATGGGCCAAGGCAGTGAAAAGAAATAAGTGATGCATCTTTGATTTTTGCCAAGTGGTTCCAGGAAGAATTTGGTGTCTGTCATGAGCAGATGAGGACACCCAAGGAGCCATTGACCACCGAATTGAATCTAGACAGTGAATTTGAGCATAAAGGCAGCAGTAGCTTGGTTTGTCATGAATCTTTTAAACTGACATGGAAACGGTTCTGAATGGTCAGGGGATTAAACAGGGCAATAGCGTATTTTATTTATTTATTTCATTTATTTATTTTGTTACATTTATAAATCGCCCACCCTGCAAGCAGGCTCTGGGCGATTTACAGCCCCTGGAAAAAAACATTTAAAATATAATCAGTAGATATATCATTTGAAACCAACCCAGATAGCGATTTAACAGTCCCCCCTTTACCGGCCACACCACTGTCCTGCACGGCAGGGCGGGGGAGGGGTACATGGGGGCCATAGAAAGAAAAAGGATGCGTTTTAAGGGGATACGTTGAATTTTGAGGTTCACAGCAGCACTCTTATGCCGAACACTGTTACGTCCTCTGGGCTTCATGTGAGCAAAGACTCATGAATTCAACATAATTAATCAGTCTAGCCATTCTGTGGATATAAATGCAGCTACACAACTGCTCTCCCGTTTGTCAGCCTGCTTTTCAATGGTCAGTAAATTGCTAATGAACCATGCAGATCATATCTTAAGTGCCCAATCACCGAACAGTAGCGTAGTCCCTTCATGAAAGAGATGCTGATGAAAATGCCTTGTGCAATCAAAGTAGTGATGACTGCCTGAACCAATACCCATTTTAAGGCTTGTGTTGATGAAAAGTGTACTGCTATACTTTCTCTTGCCACTGAGGAGACGTTAGTAGCAAATCTCTCTCTCTCTCTCTCTCGTATGTATGTATGTATGTATGTTACGGGGGGCTGCATGCTCAATTGAGGAGTTCTGGGCAAAAATCCCACCGTATAAAGGAATTCTTCCTCTTGCATGTAGTCAGGTTTCACTTTACAAAATGTATAAGTTGTTTTGGAGAGCGGCATTCTGGGAGGAAGAGAGACCCTGTCTTTCTAACAGGCAGGCCTTGCAATCCAGTTTTTGGCATTTATCCCACGCTTGCTATAGTACAAGTTAGTCAGTAGACCATGCTCAGTTTGCAAGAGTTAAACACAACAGGGAAAAAAAAGGGGTAAAAGTATAAAATGCAGGAACCACCACCCACTGGCTGCAGAAGTGGTAGAAACTGTGAAGTGCCACCACTGTATCTAACCTAGCAACTGTGGGTGCCTTAGTCAAGAAGGGGCCATGGCTCAGTGGTAGAACATCTGACTGACATGCAAGAGGTCCCAGAGCCAATCCCCAGAGTGGGGACTGGGTGGGGTTCCTAGGCTGTCAGTAGCATCTGTCTATTCCATACTCTCAGTACCAAGGCCAGTTCCAGGTTTGGGGGGGGGGCTGAGCAATGAGTTCTGAGGGCCCCCCCCGTCCCTCCTTATCCCAGCACCAGGCTCTCATGTCCCCTCCTTCCATCCCACCCACCTGCATGCCTCCCACTTGCTTGTGTGTCCTTCTCACATCTGCTCACAAGCACTCCCATTGCCCGTGTACATGGTTGCCTGCAGACCTATACCCAGTGGCACCAGGCAGTGTGTGCAGCAGGGAGCATGGGTAATAAAGTGCCAGCCAAGTGAGTGGGCATGGGAATGCTGGCAGCAGTGGGTCCTACCAGAAACACTGGGCCCTTGCAAGTGCCCCGCCTCAAGCTACACTGACACCAGCCCTGCTCTTGGTCCACTCTTTCTATGTCCACTTTGCACTTGTGAGGGTCCATGTACACACTCTTACTTTAATTGAAATAGGCAGTGATAACTATTGGTCCTGGGTTTGTGTTCCAATCATTAGCACAGGCTCACAGATATACACAACCTGGAAAAATCTGAAGCTCTTACATAGGAACACATATGAAGCTGCCTCATACCAGATCAGACCATCGGTCCATCAAAGTCTACTCAGACTGGCAGCAGCTCTCCAGGGACTCAGGCAGAGATCTTTCAATTCACCTGTCATCTGGTCCTTTTCCTAGAAAGGCCATGGGTTGAACCTGCAACCTTCTGCGTGCCAAGCAGAGGCTCTTATCACTGAGCCACTGGCTTCTAGGAATTTGAGATGTGAAATACTTCACAAGCTCAACTTGTAAAGTCTGCCTTTTTAAACCATCCCACTTAATGCTAGCAGGAAGAGTTAGTTGACCAGTATTAAGCTGCCTTGAGTGTTTATCCCAAGCTTAAAAATACTATTCACTAACCTTGCAATGAAATCTTGCAGTAATGAACTGTATAAATCTGATGTCAGTACTTCCACGTTGTGTAGTTAATACACATCTCCAACTGGTGTCTAACCTGTTTCTTGTAGGGCAGTACTCCCCCCCCTTTCTTGTGGTGGGTGGTCTATCTAAAGTTTTGTTGTTGGCCATAGGCATAGTATATAAATGCTGCTTGTTCTTGGTAAACAGTGGCTGCGGTCACACGGAGCATTAGCCACGCTTCAGAGACGGAAGATAGGCGGATTTTCCAGGCGCGATCACAGCACCACATCTAGGAAGAGTAGAGCTCCCGTGGCGAACCCGAGGCTTCCCGCCGAAGATGCGGGGTAAAAAACTAGTACCTCCGAGGTACTAGTTTCCGGAAACAGCGGGGCGCCTGATCGCGTTTCCAGTGGTAGGTTGTGGCATCCGGCGCCTGCCCATGTCCCGTCGCTAAAAGGTTCCCCCCCCAAGTCTCCACGGGATGTGCACAAGCACCCAATGGCGCATGCACACACTTCATTTAAAAACAAACAACACAGCCCCCTCCTCTTTTCCGTACCCCCCCACTCCTGCCTCGGTCTGCTCGAGAGGAACTCTGCACCGGGCGGCAGAGGGGGAGGTGCGGGGGGGGCGTGGCGGGAGGGCAGCCTGGCTGAAGCTCCTCCTGGAGGGGACCGGACGGAGGACACAGTTTGCATTCCTCTGCAGCCCTGGAAGGGGTTAAACCCGCGGAGCCTTTTGCTAGAGAGGCCGCTTCTTTGCCGCGCTGCAGGATTGTCCTGTGATCGGCACCTCCCCCCTAACCACGGGACCTCCAAGGGACGTCTGATCGCGCAACCGCGTGTTATTTTGCTCCGGGGCAAACAGCCACGCTTCCCCCCTGCATTTTCTTGCCCATGTGACTGGGGCGAGTGTAGCTTTTCCCCACATCTCCACAGAAAAACCTTCATACTGCTACAGTTCCATGCCCCCATCTGTTTGGTCAGAGAAATATTTGGACCCAGACATCTGGCTTCTTCATAGGACTTTTTGAGTAGCCATGTATGTTTCCCAGTTTACTGATCATTACGTATGAAAATTATGGTCAATTGGATATTGGTTTTGGTTTGGTTCTCCACCCCCCCACCCCCATTCTAGCAGGCACGGTGTCAACTGATATGTATATGGCTGAATGTTGTCTTTATCAGCGGTTGCAGAAATTAACAATCCATTCAAAATCCATTTCTTTTCTTTTTTAATATTCTAGGTTGCAGTTGTTAAAATGAAGTGCACAGAGCGCATTTATGCAATGAAAATCTTGAATAAATGGGAAATGCTTAAAAGGGCAGAGGTAAGTACAGTGTTTCAAACTCCGATTTTTTTTTTTAATAGCACTAAAGAAAATTGCAGTGAACTTCTGCCAGATTAGAAAGAATTACTGCATGGGCAAACAGGGGCTTCGTTTTGTGTGTGTGTGTGTGTGTTTAAAAAGTGAGCTGCTTTAATGCAATCAGGTCTGACAGTCCCTTCGAGGCATCTGTTGTTCTCAGCATTACTGTGTATTCGTTTACCAGACAGTCTGCCCTAGTTCTTACAGTGAATTATATTGGCCGGATTTTTGTTTACTGTAAAACCAAGTTAAAGACTTACATGGAGGCTTTGGATTTCATTTGCTGTGACAGAGAGAGCCACATGCAAAAGCCATTATTCAAGAGGAAAAATAGATGTTTGTGCATTTTGGGGGGAGAGAAAAAAATCAAGGCTTCTGGGGAGGTGGTTTGATTTTGGAAGGTGGGGCGATTCTTAGCAGCGTATTGCAAAAATGTGAGAATTTGTGGAAGTAAGAAAAAGCTGGAACACTGCTGATGCGTCATTAAATGTGACGTGTGGTTTGGAAATGTTTATCAATAAAGGAATGAACAGTCCATGTACTCTTAAAAAAACAAAGAAACTATTTAATGGACTGAACACATTAACCTGCCTTATACAGAATTAGACCATTGGCTTACCAGGGTTAGTATTGTCTCCTCTGGCAACCGCCCTCCAGAGGTCTCAGGTTCTTTTCCCCATCCTTTTAAGGGGAGATGGCAGGGATTGAATTTGGGACCTTCTTTCATGCAAAGTAGATGCTCTGCCCCTGAGCCACCGCCCCTTTGACCAAAGCTGTGTGTGTACAAAACAGTGAAGGATGGAATGGCAAACATCTGTCAGGATCATTTTTAATATCATCTATATGCAACATTCAAAAATAAACCATACAGATTCGGTGGTGGTGGTGGTAGGAAATGTATATCATGGGATAATCCAGTGCCTAACTTTCATGGGATTTGAGGGGACTTGACAGAGTCCTGGAAGAATGCAGTCTGCCAATCCCGGTGCAATCTCCGTTCATCACAGAGATGTTTTCACGGAACTCAGCTTTTAAAAAGAGACTGGTTTGGATCCTTCATTCCACGTGTGTTTCTCTCCACCCACTGCAGAGGCTGTCCTGTGCTGTGGAGTGCGTCCCTCTTGTGCTAGATGCTTTGGGGTTCCTTGTAGAGCATGGCTCCTGCAGAAGCGGAAGTGCCTAGCACAGGAATAACTGTGCTTCACAGCTTCTGCAGCAGCTAAATGCATGTGGAACAAAGGCACAGGATCCCAGCCATGTCATTATTTCCTCCTTTTGTCTTACAAAAAGTATTAGTCAATACAGCTTGCCATTCTGCAAGAACTGGTGTGTTCCTGGCTGTCACTGGACATCCCCCTCCCCAGCTGTTTGAAATGTGATAAGCTCCATGTATGCATCTCTCGTCTCCATAGGAGGTTGGAGGTCCCTCTAATAATTATAAATTAGGATTGTCAACTTATTAAAGAGTGAGTAGTTGACTGATTGATCAAAACATCGATTCATGAGCTAAAGGACAATAAAGGTACCAACTCTTGAGTTAAATAATGCATTGATATAATTTTTCAAGAAGCAATAAACAAGGCTTAAAACTCCTCCTTTATTGCCGATAAGTAAGCCAAAAAGCCAGCATTCTCCTAATTCCCAGTTCTTTGGATCCAACCCTGTCTTTTCTTCAAAGGTGTAAAAAGTTTTTCACAATTTCCTGTTCCTCATTCTATTTTTAGACTGCGTGTTTCCGAGAAGAGAGAGATGTTTTGGTGAATGGAGACTGTCAGTGGATTACTACATTGCACTATGCCTTCCAGGATGAAAACTATTTGGTATGTGTGAACACCAAACCTTGAAAGAACTGGCCCTTTGCACCTGCGTTCTCCCTTGGAGTCCTTTGGGGATTTTAGAGTGTGGGATTGTTGCTAGCTGCTTGCTGTGCTTGCATGCTTGTTCCTTCCTTCTGGAGGAAGGACAAATTTCCCTGCATAACTCACATACAATTTGCTTTCTTTTATTTTCCTCTCTAGGTGTGTTGATCTGCCATTAAATGTAATGAGCTAGAGTGAATATAATTACTTGAATTAAATGAAATTCAATGTTTATTGCATTCAATTGAGTTCAGTTAAATGCTCATTCTCTCGTTATTTACCTTTGCATGCTGCAGCTTCATGTGTCACTTGGAACAAGGTGTCCTTTAAAAAAAATAAATCTGGTACTGGCCAAACCAGTTTGTGAGCTGCTTGTGCCTTCTCTTTTATTGCATTTGTTCTGGTTTTATAATCATTGTAAGCTGCCTTGCATCCTTGTACGAGTGTGGGATACAGGTTTTCATTAAAGTAGATTAAATTTAATTTAATCCTATACTGTCCGGAGATAAGTCACTCAGGAAGGAAAAAACTGAAATAAAAATATCAGAGAAATCATCCTTAGAGTTTCAGGTGTTGGACTGCGGTAGAAGAACAAGATTCGAGCCCAGTAGCACCTTAGAGGCCAACAAGATTATCAGGGTATGAGCTTTTGCGATGTATCTGACGAAGGGAGCTTTGGCTGCCGAAAGCTTTTACCCTGGAAATCCTGTTGGTGTCTGAGGTGCTACTGACCATGGAAAGCAACGCATTCAGCCGGAGGGAGAAGAATTCCATCTGCCTCGTGAAGAAACTAGTACAGATACGATATCTCTGCCCAGTTTCTTCATACCCTCTATGCATCTGACGAAGAGAGCTGTGTTTCTCGAAAGCTTATGCTACAATAAAGTTTATTAGTCTTAAAGGTGCTACTGGGCCTTTTACTATTTTTCAGCAGCAGACTAACACAACTCACTCCTCTGGACCCAAGGTGCTACTGGACTCAGATCTTGCTCTTCTACTGTAGGCCAAAACCTGAAACACTAAGGATGATGAGAGCCAGCGTGGTGTAGCGGTTAAGAGCGGCGGACTCCAATCTGGAGAGCCGGGCTTGATTCCCCACTCCTCCTCCATATGAAGCCTGCTGGGTGACCTTGGGCCAATCCCAGTTCTCTCAGAGCTCTCTCAGCCCCACCTGCCTCACAAGGTTCCTGTTGTGGGGAGGGGAAGGGAAAGGAGATTGTAAGCCTCCTTAAGGTAGACTCCTTAAGGTAGAGAAAAGTGGGGGGCCCCCACTCTTCTTCTTCTACTACTACTGGACTCGAATGTTGTCCTTAGTGTGTATGTGTAGAGAACCCTGAAGGCCGTGTCCCAACCTGTCAGAGTCTGTGCTGTGAGGTGATCTGGAGGCTTAGATAACTGCACGCGGCAGCAACTCTAGGAGCTCCTACCTTTTGAAAGAGGAGGGAGTCCATTCGTTCCCCTGATGCGGAGAGTCCTTATGCTTTATTCCTCAAAAACCCTCTCTACATGTTAATTGGCTGGGCACAGGAATGTCTTACAAAGCACTGGCAGCCAGTGTTCCCTCTAAGCCAAGTTAGTGTGAGCTAGCTCACAGTTTTTTAGCCTCTGGCTAACACATTTTTGTCTTAGTTCATGAAGGATGGCTCCAGAGCAAACTAATGTATGCAGTAGCCAAATCGCTTGCTCAGAACTTTAATGCTAGTAGCTCACAAAGTAGAATTTTTTCTCACAAGACTCCACAGCATAGAGGAAATATCGCTGGCAGCCTCTGTGTAGTACACTTGTGCGCCCCAGTTTGAGAAATGCTGAATTTTATTAAGGGCTCCAGAATGAGTTTTGACAGACTCCATACTGGGACATTTTAAGGGCAGTTAATAATGTGTGGTAACACTGAGTCCAAGTACTAGACTTGACAAAAAATTCTATTGGGTGTTGCTTTATGTTCGTATGTCATCGTTAGGTGTGTAAGGGTTGTGATGTTTTGATTAGTAAAATGTATGTGTACATTCCATACCTGCTTCATTCATATCATAATTAAGCCCTTAGCATTTAAAGCAGCCCATAACTTCATGAATCAGACTCTCATACTCCTTATCTGTTCAAGAATTGTGCGTTAATTGACATTAACAATGTACTGAGTTCAGTAGACCTTGTTTTAGAGTGAGATTTAAAACTGAAAGGGTTGATTGTCTGTGCTTTTCCTGCTGTTTATGATGCTATTCTCTCCTATGATACAACTTCACTGAACATGTTTCAACCGAGTTAATTTATGCAGTGTCGTTACTGTTCTTCAGGCAGGAAAGAAATAGGTTTATTTTTGAAAGCGTTTTCACAATGCACAGCCTCTTGTTTAAAGACAGAAACACATTGGGGGGGAAAGTGCATTTAAACTGAGTTTAGAACCCAAGAGTACTTCCAGGATGAGCAGTCAGTATCCATGACTTTTGGTTGACCTGCGTTCTCAAGGAGTATTCACTTGTGAGCAAAGTGCCTCTGAAGAGCCCATGAACACTTCAGGGTTGACCAGTTGCCTCAAAGACGTACTTTCTTGAGCTTAGGTTTGGGATATTGCCATGGCTTTTGGAATCTGTCTTCATAGAAAATACTGCTATGAGATTTCCTCTGTAAATTTTATTTAAAATGGCTCTGTTAAGGCAGTATTATCTGTTGTGTTTCTTATGTAACTGATATGAGATCTTGCATCTTTTAGAAACCCTGTGGTCTTGAGATGTCCTTGTACTCATGGGGATCGACCAGGGTGGAGCACGTGCTTTTCATAGAGAAGGTTCTCTTTTTGGATTGTCCACTGAAAACCGTCCCAGCTTCTTTTCACTCAGTATTTTGTCATTTAGATTGAGTATATGGCACACAGCTGCAGTCTAGTAAAGCACACATACAACACCAGGGCTCAGGAGAGTCATATAGCATTCAGTAGAGCATAGTTCCCCATTTTCCTCCTCTGTTCCTCTGGCCATGATGAACATATGGAAATACAAACAGAACCCTGTAGAGACTCCGTCATCCATGCTCATCTTCTGCCCTCTAAACTGATTTCATTCAAATTACTGCAGAGTGGAAATAACCTGCATGGTGCACAGAAGAAGGGCCAGATGGACCTCAGTCCTCTAGTGCTCTCTGGTTTTGATTATTCACTCATGTTGGTGGGAAAGGAGTGAAGAGAGACTAGGAGAAGAAGAAACCCAGTGTAGCTTGTTGACAGATGTCAGCCGTTAAATGCAGTCTTACACACACAGGAACACACACACCTTTCTAATTCTCAACGAAGCCTGAGCAAGAAAAATCTTATTAGAGTGTGTTTTACTTGGAGCATCTGACTATCTGGCAGCTTAAAATGGTCCCAGTTAGAGATGGGGGAGGGACAAAACAATCAGTCTTCTTTTTCTAGAAGCTTCAGTTTTTCCAACAGAAAAAAATGGAAATTTGGGGGAGCATTGAAAAGAAACTCCTTTGAAAATTTTTATCTTTGAAATGAGTGAAGAGCTATTTAAGACAAAGTTTTATTCTCTTGCAATGTATAGCATGAAGATTTTTGTGTCAGACAATCTATAGCATGAGAACATAATTCCTGTGTGTGCTGTAGACATACAATATTTTTGAGGACATATTGTTTAAACACGACTACTTTTGCCCGTTGCTGATAGGCTAAAATGTGTATGATGATAAATACAGTATGGACGACTTCATTGTTTTCTGTTATAAAGTTTAACATGATATCCACATATGCTGCAAGTGTTACGGTGACTGTATATCTGCCTAATAATACAGTTTCTGGGTATTACAGCATTGATGCTTTTAATTTCCAAATTTCAGTTTTTCTTCAGTCTCAGATGGGAAAACTAAGATATATGCACTAAAGTAATAGGATGCAGCAGTTTACAGTTGTTTCTCCCCCTCCTTTCTTTCTGATATGGGGTATATTTGCCATGTTGCTTGTAGAAGACTTAATTTTTTCCACTAGAAAAATTGAAAAGCACTAAGAAAATCCCTTCAGAATTTGTCCATGTTTTGTTTTCCTGGGCCTTCACATCTCCAACCAGGATGATTTTGCCAAATAGCTCAATTGTTAATGCTGGCATAAACTATGCATTTTATGTTGCTGAAGCCTTATGCGTATATGCCCAATATTTTGCAACCACCCCCTGCCATGGCTTCAGAATTTGTGGAAATTTTATACCTCTCATTCCAGTTTCCATTTTAATTTTAATTGCATTGTTTGTAAAAATTTTTTTTAGTACTTAGTAATGGACTACTATGTGGGTGGTGATTTGTTGACGCTACTCAGCAAGTTTGAAGACAAGCTTCCTGAAGACATGGCCAGGTTCTACATTGGTGAAATGGTGCTTGCAATACATTCCATCCATCAGTTACATTATGTACACAGGTAAGGACCATCTTATTGCGATGGGAAAACTCACACTTTGAAGCCTCCAATGAGCTCCGTTTTATCACGATGCCCAAATGCAGTTGGCTGAATAAGTTGGGGTTGGTTTTTTTCACCAGTCCCATTCAGATGATGCAGAACAAATCTCAGTTTAAGATGCCTGTGTTTCAGATGTCAAGACAAATTGCGGTTAGTTGAAGGTTTGTGATGGTCAAGAACCTGGTTAATTGTCATGTTCACTCCCACTCTTTATTCTCCTCTCATGCAAAACGCCAAGATTGAAGACAGAAGGCTTTAGCCAACTCCAACTAGTCATGAGGTCTGAATGTGGGTTTGTGGACTAACTGTACTTCGTTTCCTTTCCTGTAACATGGCCGAATCCTGGTTTTTGAGTTGCAGTTTCTGAGAAAGGCATGAACCCCAATTAGTCTAGGCACCAACCGTTGGATTTCAAGACAAATTAGAGTTAGTTGAAGGCTTCCATCATCAATCTTGGCATGCTGCATGCAGAGGAAGGAGGTAGAGAGTTGGCTTGATCAGCCGTCAACCAGATTTGTGCCCAACGGCAACAAACTCTCTTTTGTTTATAACATCTGAACTGCGCTCGAGACTGGTATCATTGAAATGACACCATGTGAAAAAGCAATTTCAGTACAATGTGCAAGAATATCCTGAGTTGATTGCAAACGAGCAAGGAACATGCAGGAAAACTAACCCATTTGTTTATGGGCACACACCCAGAATGATACAGATTGCATGTAATCTGAAAGAAGTTTGGAGTTTATTTATTTATTTATTTATTTATTTATTTATTCGACTTTTATACCGCTCCTTCCCGTAGGCTCGGAGCAGTTTACACGCAATTAGTTATACCTATCTAGGGCCACAATTATACAGGGGAAGGTGACAGCCTACCAGCACCCAGGCAGCAGGGCTCTCTCTTTCTTTCTCCCGGCTCCTTCATGGTGAGCACTTCACCTTCTGGCACGACGTTTTTTCGGCACAGCTCTTATTCACAGCGACTCCTTCTGGCGAGACCTTTTCCCGGCGCGCGGCTGTGTGACAGCTGCAGCTGCGATCTACGTCCAATTGGCTCCGTCGTGCCGTGCGCCGCATCACCATGCCTCCGGTCCAATCCTTGTCCGGATTCCGTCGCCGCTCTGCATCGGATGGTCGCCATGCTTCTTGCCGAGTCCCCGGGTCTCTGCCATGGGACACCGCTGGAGGCATAACTGAAGTTCTCTAGAAATGTGTTGAGGTGCCAGCCTAGCTCATATAGGTCACTACTTTATTCCCAAACATAATACAGTTGCATTTGATGGAGGAGAATCAATACAGGAATCAAGGAGGATGGCACCACAAATATCAATGATCTCTTGTAGCAGCCTCTTAGTGTGCCTCAGTGTACCAAAGGCTTTATTTGTGAATACTGTAGACACTATGCAGCTGCAAGTATAACATGGTTTGGAGTGCTGTGAGGGCAGCGGAGGAGATGATCACTCACTAGACTTAGGTCCACATGCAAACAAAACATGTGGGCCCATCTGCTTCATGGCAATCAGTAAGACTGTCTTGTTTACAGACATGTTTACTCGTGGGTTGCCTTCATTGGTGTGGCTCCAACCTTCTGTTGGAGGATGAGCATCTTAAGTTGAAGAAAGGCTTTGTAGGCTGGAGGAAGGCTTTCAAACCTTGCTCAGTGGAGTGGAAGGGGCAGGGTTAAGACTAACCCCGTTGGTTACAGAGGGCGTTGTTTTAATATAAGAGTGTTTTACATTTCAGCTAATAATGTCAGACTAATCCATTGGATTGTCATAGCTTCTAAGGTAACTGCCCTTTCATCTCGTACTAGGGTTGCCCAGTCCCCAGGTCCCAGTGGGGATTCCCTCAGTTTTTGGGGTTTCAGTCCGCCACCGGCCAGCAGGGGAACCCCACCCCCAAACAGCCACGTACCCAGCAGGATGACGTCACCTGGTAGTGATGTTGTGTTGGGGATGTCACACGCTCTGGTTTGAGGGCAAAACTCCATGGTAAATTTGGTCTAAAACTCTAGAGTTTTGCCCTCAAACCAGAGCATCACCGCACAGTGTCGCTGACGCAATGACATCACTTCCAGATGATGTCATTACGTTGGGGACGCCTGGAACGCCCCCCCAGATCCCCCTGGCAAGGGGACCTGGCAACCCTGTCTCGTACTATTCATGGTGTCATGGTGTTTTCTTCTTGTGAAGCGGCTTAATTTGCATGGGGCTCTGTGTCACCATGTAAAATGGTAGGCATCAAAGCTCTAGCCTGCTATTCAATGGTGGCTTCTGCTGTCCCACCCATTTCACATTCTTTTTATAAGGTAAACATTGGTCTCTGGATTCCAAAGATTACTTTATAGTGGGAAGGGAGCAGTTATGAGAAGCCATTTGCAAATGCGGGGTACTAATATTTTTCTCGTTACAGCAATTTTTCTCTTGCTATACATACCTTGGCTTTTTAATGACCTTTCTAAATTACTGCAGTCTCAGGAAGTCACGTGAAGACTTTTCGTCTCAGTTTTGAGCAAGCAAGAAAATTGGCACTTAAACCGGATTTTCTGAGTAAACAAGTGTAGTAAAATGCCACCAGGAAAAAGTTCAGTGTAATATTGTGCATTAACAGACCTGTCTTAGAGATTGCTTTGGAGCGGTAACCGTGTTAATAATGCTGCACCCAAAATGACAATCTTGTGGCACCCTAGACTAACAAATGTATTGTGGCATAAGCTTTTGCTAGCTGGAGCCAACTTTGTCAGTCGCACGGAATGTTGTTTTTAGTTGACGGAGACAGATGCCAGAATCTGCAAACAGCAGCGCCCGGGGTGGGGTGTTGCAAAGAGAGGCCAGAAGGTCTGGTTTCCAGGGCATAGGTGTGCTGCAGAGCACCAAGGAAACCAAGACCAAATTAAGAGCCCAGTCACTAGGTGTGGGCTTCTCCCAGCTCTTGGTGAATTAGCAAGTGACTAGCATGCATAAACCTGAAAGGAGGGACAATCGCTTTTTGCAGTGAGCTAGCCATCCCAAGTCCCGGCGGAGTCTGATAAGATCAGATCTGCATTCCAATCCAGCAGCTTTGTGCCAGAGTCTTTCTTTGAATCTCTTCTTAAAATACCGTAGCGTGTAAATCCATTACTTAATGCCCAGGGAGGCTGTTTCCTACCCCAACACACTCTCGCCGATTTCTGAATTTCCAGTGTTAGTGTCTGATTTGTCACTTAAGCCAGTGTAAAATAGCAGAAGGTTATTGCTGGCACATGATAACGTATATCACGAATGAGATCTTGCTGATTTTGAAGGGCTCTTGTGATAGTGTCCCTTGCATGGATATCAGAAAACGTTTGTCACTGAGATGTGTTGCAGGGCCTAGTCCCTGGGTTTCTGTCTGTATTCAGTAGCCCATTGTTGTTGCTCATTAATTGTTTCAGGCCTGTGATAAGGAAGGCTTGTTCATCTTCCAGGAAAGGTTGTAGATCCCTGATGATGCACTCGAGAGGGTACAACTGAGAGCTTGCAGGTTGACCACCAGTGGCATTCTGTTGTTCTCTCTGCTGAGCTTTGTAGAATGTGACCCCCAGACCCTTCTCTGGCCTTAGCCTGCCTTTTCAGTTCTCTGAGTGGGTACAGGAGTTTTTAAAACACTTGGTATCAATCTCAGAAGTCTCCTTGTCCAAAGGATTGGTGCGTGTATTTATTTCATAGTTTGGCAGTAGACAGTGGATTGCAGATTGCATGGTCTGTTTTGGATGTTTGCTAGAACCCTGTATACAGTTACGTGTAACATTCAGTAAGTTTCTTATATAAAGTGGAGTTTATATGTCAATCATATAGTTGAACAGTGCTTTTGAGAAAGCAGACCTGCTGTATGGACTGCTTTTAGGTTCACATTGACAGTAGGGTGGAAGTTGTTGAAACCCTGGTGGAATATTCAAGGGCCCTCCATCCTCAGCAGCTTTGTTGTGTTTTTATAGTGCCTGATAAAGGCTGGGGGAAAATGTTCCTTCTGGTTTTTTTGTAATAAACCCCCCCCCCCCATTGTACATATAAATCTTTCTTCCAACTGGCGGTAACACTTCATACATCTGACAAAATGGGCTCCTGCTCACGGAAGCTTATGGCGTAATAAATCTGTCAGTCTTTAAGGTGTCGCAGAACTCTTTGTCATTTCAGAGAATGTGGCTTGCTACCTGCTAAACACATTTAACCTGGAAACAAACCCATGTTATTGGCTGTTATTTTCTTGGACAGTTGTGTTGGGCAACAGCTGCATATGAAAGTGTAGCTTAAAAAGAAGCATTAACGCCTGTCTGAGGCTCTCCCAGGAGTGAAATCACCTTCCTTCCTCTTATATTATGGGAGGAAATGGAAAGCAAAGTACTCCTTGTACCCTTTTATTGTTGGGTTGCGCTTAAAATGCGTGTTCCAGAAGAACCTTTGGTAAACAGGGTTTTTAAGAGGAACACATGGTAAACATTGCCCTCAGCATAATGTGAGAAAAGGTTCAAGCCTTTCCACTAGTTCCCCCCCCACACACACACACACATACAATTCTGCTATTTCAAATTAAAACAAAAATTAGTTTTTGCTCTTGCCTTTTGCTTTAGATTATCATGAGCAAAGAGTGTAAATGGAATGGTTATTTTATGTGTTGCAGTCTCAAAGTATGCGCAAGGATATGCATAGTTCTTCTGGGGCTAGGAAAGACAAATTTCTTATTGAGGGCATATTAGAAACATAAAATGTTGGGGTCTGTGAAGGTCAAGAGGATTTTTTTTTTAGTTTGCAGTGTTTCACACTGACCTTTCTCCCAGAGGGACCCAAGGCCAGGTATACGGAAGGCTTTAACAGAAGCAGATCTTGCCAGTGGCACGCTTTGACTCACAAAAAAAGCTGATGTCAGGAGACCCACATAGACAAAAAGCTGCACTGCCTGGGCAGCTGCAGCGAGGAGGGGAGGCATGTGGAATTATCACTTTCTGCAGGGGTCGTTTCATAGAAAAAGAGCTAGGGGAACTCATTAGCATAACTCATTAGCATACACCACACCCCCTGACATCACCGGAATTGTGTCATAAGGCCACACACCCCGCCCCCAATGGTCCCGGCCGCCACCGCCGGCCTTGCAGCTCCACTGCCGAGCCCCATGAGGGGCCCGGCGGTGGACCTGCAAGGCCAGCGGGAGTACAAGGAAGCCCCGCGAAGGCCCTCCCTGGCCCCAGGCAGGCAGGGGTGGGGAGAGGCAGGGAGGAAGCAACTTACCCTCCCTCTTTTCCTGCCTCCTCCTGGCTGAATGAGGGCCGGAAGCGGGGCGGCCGGAAGCAGGGGGCGGGGCTTCGTCATGTGCCCAGCCCCCCGTACCTCACCCAGGGGAACTGTGATCCCCTGCGATCCCCCCGAAATGACCTCTGACTTTCTGCCTCTTCCACTAACAGATGTGCCACCAGTGAAAGAACCAGGAGGGACAACTTTGTCTGATTTCCTCTCCACATTGCACCTTTACCCCTCTGCTCCCACCAGTTAGCATTTTGTCCACTCCCAACACCAGCTTTTTATGGGTCCACTCCTTGTGGCTTCATTTTCTAGCATTCTATCCATTATGAATAACCAGTCTGTGCATAATTTGCATATCTTGTATGTTAATGCATTTCTGTGAAAAATGGCCGGGTGTACCTGTTTCCAGCCAGATTCAGAACACATTACAGAATGATGTAATTCAAGCCAGTCCAGGTGGAAATTGGAACCATTAAACCAAAATGTTCACACACAGAGGCACCATTATTACTAGGCAGTGCTTCCGTGTTGCTACCAGCAGTAAGGAACAAAAAAAGTGCTAAAGTTTGCCCTTTTTATAAGGATACCATTACTTTTGTTTTTTGAAATAGCAAAATAAGTAGATTATATTTAGTACAGCGGTATTTATGCCATGCTTATCTAATTTGGGGAAACAAAATGCCATGTCAGACTCAAGTCATTTTAGTAGTGCGTGGGCAGCTTTTGTAACAGGATGAGTGTCATGATGATAATGCTTTTAAAGTATCCTTTGTGCTCGCGACTGTTGAAACATCATTTGTCAATTTGCTGTCACGTTTGGACCCCTTGCAGTTTCTTTGGGGCTTTCCTACCTTGCATAGATATTCATGTAGATCTATGGTGCGGCCTTATTTGGAATGCTGTGTAGAGTTCTGGTCATCGTATCTCAAAAAGGACATTGCAGAGGTGGAAAAAGTAGAGGGAGGGCAACCAAGATGATTAGGGAGTGGAAGGAGCCCTGAACAGGCTGCAGAATCTGGGACATAAGAGACGACTAAGGGAGAACATAATAGAGGTATGTAAAGTTAGGCATGGGGTGGAGAGAGTTGACAAAGAGAAATTTTTCTCACTCTCCCCAAGTACTAGAACTAGAGGATATCCAGTGAAGCTGATGGGCACTAGGTTCAGGTCTGAAAAAAGGAAACACTTCTTTATAGAGAGAGTGATTAAAGTGTGGAATTTTCTGCCCAGAGGATACAGTGATGACCACTGGGATTGTTGTTGTTGTTCAGTCGCACAGTCGAGTCCGACTCTTTGTGACCCCATGGACCAGATCACGCCAGGCCTTCCTGTCTTCCGCTGTCCTCTGAAGTTGGCTCAATTTCATGTTCGTTGCATCTATGACACTGTCCAACCATCTCATCCTTTGCCGTCCCCGTCTTCTTTGACCTTCAGTCTTTCCCAGCATCAGGGTCTTCTCCAGTGAGTGCTCCCTTCTCATTTGGTGGCCAAAATATTTGAGCTTCAGTTTCATTATCTGGCCTTCCAGGGAACAGTCAGGGTTGATTTCTTTTAGGATTGACTGATTTGATCTTCTTGCAGTCCAAGGGACTCTCAAGAGTCTTCTCCAGCACCATAGTTCAAAAGAATCTATTCGGCGCTTGGCCTTCCTTATAGTCCAACTCTCGCAGCCATACATGACTACTGGGAATACCATTGCTTTGACCATGCAGACTTTTGTTGGCAGGGTGATGTCTCTACTTTTTATCATGCTGTTTAGGTTCGCCATCACTTTCCTCCCAAGGGGCAGGCGTCTTTTAATTTCATGGCTGCTGTCACAGTCTGCGGTGATCTGGGATCCCAGGAACGTGAAGTCTGTCACTACTTCCACGACTTCCCCTTCTATTTGCCAAGGAGTGATGGGGCCAGATGCCATGATCTTAGTTTTTTTGATGTTTACAAGATTATTATTGTAGAGGCCCTTAAAAGAGAGGGTGCTCTCTCCCCCAGACTTCCTCTCTCTCTCTGGTATGCAGCCGTCTTAGGAAGCCAGGGGTGGGGGTGCCCCCCTTGCCCCCTCCCACTTCTGGTAGAGTGCCACCAGCTCAGGGTTTGTCAAAGCTCCCCCTACACCAGAGGAAGAAACCAATTGTACAGGTTTCTCAAGAGACATGTGAGATGGTCTGGTACTCCCATCTCTTTAAGGACCTGCCATAGTTTGTTGTGACCACTGGGATAGGCAGCTTTAAAAGGGATGAGACCAATTAATGGAGAGCAGATCTACTGGTGACTACTGGCTCTGGTAAAGGGAACCTCCACATTCAGAGGCAATCAACCTCTGAATCCCACAGCCAGGAGGCAACATCAGGGGAAGGCCTCGGTCACTATGCCCTATTCTTGGACTTCCAGAGGAACTGGTTGGCCACTGCGTGAGACAAGATGCTAGTCTAGATGGACCACTGGTCTGATCCAGTAGGGCTCTTCTGATGTTCTTACGTTCTGATGTCCATATGGAACTTCCGTCGCTTTGTATTTATGTTGAGCCACTGTGTCTATAGTCCATCACTACAGAACGAACCAGCCAGTGAGGTCTGAACTACATCTTTGTAGTATATTTTGAGGTCTTCAGTTTGTCTTAATGACTATTTTAGGTCTGAGGTTTTTTTGAGCAGCCAGTCTGAAGTAATCAGTCTTCAACATGATGCTAGTTGACACATACCAATTTTAAATTTCCCAACACTGTTACAAAATTGTACTGTATGACCTGCATTTAAGTGAGTGCACCAGTGGAGTAAAATATATGGTTGACTGCTTAAGTAGATTAATAATTACCCAGCAAAGCTAGTGTTTGACCTAGTGTGTATACTATGTGAAAGTAATATCCTTTCTTCTTAAAATCAGAGATATAAAGCCTGATAATGTTTTGCTGGATGTGAACGGCCATATCCGCCTGGCAGACTTCGGATCATGTCTGAAGATGAGCGAGGACGGCACTGTATGTACCAATGTTTTATATGAATTCTTTTCAAAATAGGACTTTTAAAGTTAGAGTGGCAGTACTGCAATGCATAAGAACCCATTTAGGAATCTAGACTTGAGACAAAAAAGTTAAATGGAAAGACACCATGGGGTGGGTTAGCAGTGTACAGTTGTTGGTTTACACGTCTGTGTGTTGTACAGAAGTTACGTGTGATAATTTCATATATGGAACATCATATGGTTTTGTCTTATTCCTCTTCTGTTCCTGCGTAAACTCCTGTAAAGCAAATTAAGTTAGTTTCTTTTCGTATGCAAGGAATATAGCATGCCTCGTAACTGTAGTGGTAATCTTTTACAAACTGAAACCTATGAATTTGTCTTGTAGGGGACTCTATCAGAAGACATCTTTCACCCTCCTGCTAAACCTATTTTTTTAACTCTTTACTCAGCATTAGAACTCTACAAGTGGGGGTCATGAGACTTGCAAGGGGTCCCACCCCCCCACCCCCTTTTCTCCAACACAGCCCCCGACCTTTCCTGCAGCTGCTCTTGGGCTTGGCACAGCCCTTGGCCTCTCCTGCAGCTACCCGTGGGGCAGCCCCCAAGCTGCTTCATTGCTACCTCTGGGCCCAGCACGGCCCCTGGGCTGCCCACAGTACCACCATGGTCCAAACATCTGTGTTTTCGGCAAGCACCAATGTCAGCTCTATCCCAGAGAAGGGAGATCGATCAGAGGAGGAACCAGAGGAAAGGATGTTCTGTTACCCTCTGATATATTCCCTAAACTGTTGGTCTGAGTTTTATCTGAAAGCTCTAAAACATTGACTGCTTTCATCAATAGTTTGAAAATAGTTTGATTCATTTAAATCAAATGGGAAGGGGAGGGAAGTTCTGCATGCCAACTCAATGTCTCCGAGGCAGCTTTCCCTCAGATCTCTTCCAAGCCCTTCACAGTTCACTTTCCCTGACGTCTTTGACAATTTAGTAGCCAAGACAAAATGTGAGGCTCCTACCTGTAACAATGCCTCTCATAGACCAGCTTCTGAATTTTACATCCATTCTCAGGAAATGAGCCAACTTAAAATACCTCTGTTAGATGCCCCCAGTGGCAACCTTAAGTTCTTCTCCTGTAATCCCTGCTGGCACGGATGGCTTGCCTAAGGATCTGTGTGATAAATGCATAGAACTAGCCTAGAGGGGGGAAACTGAAGCCGCCTCAGGCATGCTTTGGGCTCTAGCAGCCAACTCACTCCATAACCTCTTGGCAGATAACCTTGCCTTGAGCTCTCCTCCAGGGACTAAAGACTATCTTAAAAATATCTCTCCCTGAAACCTTTTTTGGCAGATTCATCAATAGATTGTATTCAATTTTGGGACAGAGTGACGGTCACAAACATGGCAGCATGCAGAAGCCCCTGGTTGCACTACTAGGAAGTCCAACAGGCAATGCTAAACCTGCCTTTCCAGTGTTCTTTCCACTGGATCCCTAGAGCCTCTACATGAAAATTTAGTCTAGGCTACGGACAAGAAAAAGCTCTTCTCTCCTTATGGAAGGAAGACGAAGGATCTCTTCCTTTTTGAGACTTGAGGTCCAATACACATTCCAGAGTTTCACGAATTCCTTTAAACCAAACTCTGCAAACACAATGTGTTCTTTCCAGCTCCTTTATAGAAGGGAAGCAGCCACAACAGCAGCTTTCTCAATAACTATCTAAAGTGGAGGGGTGCTTTGAGGATAAAAACTTGTTATAATTTCAGACCAGAAATTCCTGATTTGGGGGTAGGACAGTACCTGTTCAGGATTCCAATCCTTGGTGTTTTGTTGTTGACCGGAGGGGGGGAGTTCCTGAAATTTCAGCACCATTATTTCCATGGGGGGGCACATTTGAGGGTCTGGTGCTGCTGCTTTTAAAGATAATGGCACCAGACTTGCACAGAACATAGTCTTCCCTCTAATCTAAAGACCCCTTAAGTGTCAAGCAGAGTGGACAAAGGGGTTTGATTCTACAGACCCCCGAAGTAGGCGCCTCTCAGCCCACCTCACCAGTGTTTGCTATGGGGGGAAATAGCGGCAACACATCAGGAGAGTGCCGGTTGCCAGTGTTTTAAGAAATCCCTGGAAGCATCTCTGGTTTCTCTACATATTGTCATAGTGACTGTAATACTATGACATTAAAAAAAGTTTCTGCTGAACACTCTGCATTTGCCATCCTTCCTTTGAAATTGTGTGTAAACCGCTCAGAGACCCTTCGGGGTTAGAGCAGTATATAAATTGAATGTAAATAAATAAATAAATTACTGTGGTCTGCTTTCACAAAGTAAGGAAGGCTTCCTTTGAAACAGCCCCCGGCACCACCAGTTTCTGGCAGGTGGAATCTGTCATTCTTCTGAAGATATCGTCCAGCTCACAGCAGTAGCTGTGGCCCTTAAACATTACTTCTGTGGAGCTTGTCTCTGATGGTGATTTCTGGGGAGCGCTCTTGATCCCTTGCAAGGATCAGTTTGGAAGGGATAAAAGCTGTTATCAAAAAGAAACAAGACCCTGCTCCTGCCAACAACAGTAAGCACTCGAACATGAAAAACAATGTGGATTTTTCAGGAGGGCATTTTTCATAATGCCAAAGAAACACAGGTTGGTGTTTACCATTCCAGAAACCACACTGATGACCACAAACTGTGATTTTTGTGTCTCTTTTCTGCTGGGGAATTTCTGGGTGCACATCCCTACTCAAAAGGCAGGGGGCCATCTCCAGCGCTTTGCAGAGTTTTAGTCTCAGTTGACACTGAACGGTCAGTGCTGGTGTCTCTCAGGGCTATATCATTGCATTTTATCCATTTCCCATCTGTGCAATACCCGCTTGTCCTGATAGATACTTAAAGGGACCAAATCTACCAGTTTCAGGAGACAAACAACTCATCTGAAGTCTCTAGACCCAAGTCACTCAAGGTCATCAGGATCCACTGATGATGCTGGCATAACTTCTCAGTATACTGGACATGATCCCATCGACATGCTTTCACAGCCATCCACCACAGAAACTACTGTTCCCCCACCTGGACCATTGAGGGTTCATGTATACCTGCGAAGGTCTCTACACAAGGAACTGGTGTGGTAGTTGGATAATGGCCGTTTTGAGTTCCATGTCACCTTTTCAGGGACAGCCCTGCTTTTTGATCAACAGGTACCAGCTTTGTTGTCTTTGGGGGGGGGACATTTCCAACAGAACAAGGAACCAAGTCTCAGAAGAAAGCCAAGAAGACTGTCAGTTGCTAGAACTCAGTGAGACAACTGGTTTTTCTAGCATTTCAAAGACAGATACATGTCCATGTAAACTATATATCAGCAAAAGGTCTTGTGAACCATCAGAGAGGCATGAGATTATCTTACTTTCACAAGGAAGCATTTGTGTTAGTCTGGACAGAACTCCCCCTCTCATCAGGGCAGAGCATACTGTGGGAGTCAAGATTGTAGTTGCGGATTGGCTGAACAGGAGGACATTGGACCGATCTGAGTGGCAAACTGAGTCCTGCAGTATTTGTGACTGTTAAGGGGGGCGGGGGGTAAAAGTCAACCTGCTTGCAACTATGGACAGCCATCAAGTGAGCAAATTCTGTTCCTGTGCTAACTACTATTGATAAGAGGCACCATACAGACTGCTGTACATGTTTCCTTCAAATTGGTCTAGAAAGTGCTAGATCAAAAGGTTATATTGAGAGTTGCCTTCTGGCTAAGATGTCCATAGTCAGCAGAGCTTTTTCATTGGTTGACTAAGAATTTGTCATGTCTTCCACCACAGATGGAACTTGTTCTACTGACAGAGTTTGAATGGCAACACCTAATAGGACTTGGATATTCTGATAGTGGCACTTTCCACTTTATTGGCTTCATGCAGATCTATCATAGCATCCCTGTATTCATAGATTCCTGAGAGACAATCCCTGCTAAACCCTCCTACCATTAATTAATTCCCTCATTTAATTGTAATACAGTTCTGTCTTCCATTACCAAATGTCATTTTGAGCCAAAGGCTACCGATTCTTCAAGGGATCCATCTGTCAAGAAGGCATTCCTCTTAGGCCTTACTTCTGCACACAGTGTTGAAGTTACCATCTTATCAGTTGATAAAGACCACTGCATTTCTATGAAGGTGGAGCAATGCTTAAAACTGACTGAAGCTTCTTTCCTAGAACAGAAGAAATTGTCTTCTTGTCCTTTTTTTCAAACATGGGTTACCAGAAGGAATAAGAATAGCACAATCTAAATGTAAGAAACTTATCTTCCATGTTTCAAGAAAATTTGAATCCCTGAATTCCTTTTAATCTCTTTTAGGAAATCCACCATAGGAACGTGGGTGTTAGTCCTTGATGTTAGTCCAGTAGATTAAATAATATGTCCATAGATTTTACCAAGAAGAAGGTAAACAGCCTCCAGAGCAGATCACAGTTTACTTTTCAAGGGAAGCAACCACGTCTCCTGATTACATGGAATGCAACCCACAATAGGGGACATCATATGGACACATTCTTTTCAGCCTAGGCAGCTTTTCACTGGAGAGTACTTCAAAAACTGTTTTTTTCTCCAATGTGAAATACCTCTGAGCTTCAAATGTACTACTGTGCTATGTCCCATTAGAAGCCTGCCCTATCACTGCAGCCACTGGAGGAAGAACATGGCATGAATTTTCATTCCCAGTGGTTACAGGACGGAGCAGTCTCTCCCCAGCCACCACATGCCCAGATGGAAAGCTAAAGAGTCACTTTATCTATTTGACATAGCCAGTACGTCTTCATATCAGGCATAGAATCATAGAGTTGGATGGGACCTCTAGGGTCATCTAGTCCAACCCCCAACTAGTTCAAGTTTGGTGGTATGTCTTCATTTTCAGTCTCTCTTTTAAAAGAAGGAAAGAAAGAAAAAGAAGTAAAGCCTGCACTTTTCTCCATTTGGAAGTTATGCTTGTTTATTTTATATGGTGCTCACTACATTTATTATAAGGGGAACTTTTCCAGGCTTGGTCTGGGAGTGAAGGGGAGGTGTTAGCAACAAAATCATGTTTGCAGCCAAGATAGCCTTTTAATGAGAAAAGACTGCCCCAGCTCCAAACCACTGAGACTGAAAATTCAAAGCAAGTTAAAAATGTACTTTTAATTAAACTCTGAACCAAGTCCGTGAGATCTTGCTACAGATGCTAATTTTCTGCCCCTAAGAATTTCTCCTCCATTGTGCATTGTGCATTGTACCTCTGCATCCTGAGTTCCTTCCTTGCATCACCTCTCCTACCTCCTGACTGGAATATAAGGACTGAGATCTCCATTCTGAGTCGTATCTCTTGGAAACTTGTACCCTGAAAATCATGTTGGTCTCGGGGGTGCTACTAGACTCTAATCTAACTTGAAAAATTAGAAGTCCTGAAAATGTTGAAATAAAAATATTTTTATAAAATATAATTGCTTGAAATAGCTGTCATTAAGAATGACCAGAACACCTTTTTTGCCCTATTTGACATTGTGATTTCCTGTCATTCAGATTTAAATATCAGTATGGCTGATAAATTGGTTTGATTATACTCCAGATTAGTGTGGTGTATAAATGCAGGCTATCCAACAAACTGTGGTTTGTTGGTGAGTGCTAAACTGGGTTTCTGTACCATGGTTTGCTTCTGGCTTGTTAAGTCATGAAGCTTGAATGTAGAAAACCAAGTCCATTCAGAAGGACCATCTGTTCTAGCCTCCTGCATGCTAGAGAGATGCACAGACTGGCATAAGCAAGCACTTGCCACTCCAGCATCATTCGGCTGTTGATGCTTTATAAAAGATGCTTCCTGCCTCACGCATCCCTTTTTTTTTGCCTTCTCTTCACATGTTTCCCTTCCTAGTAGTAAGAAGGAATCCACTTTGGAGACATTAGTCTCTCTCCACAGGAAATTTAAGGAGCAGCAAAATGGCAGGAGAGAAAGGAAGGATGAGAGTATTTCAGAGCTTGAATGTTCAGGAAATCATTGAAGTAGCTTGACAGGAGTTCTCCTCCAGTGTCCTCCTCCCAGTTATTGCAGCCTGTCAATCACAAGCCTGCCCGCAGTCTGTTGCTGCAAGGGAATTTGGGATTGTGTCCAGGGATTGTGCTTGGAGTCATGAAGGGAGCCAAGTAGCAGACTAATTGAGATTTATGAACAAATTGTCATCCATTATGTCTTCCTGATAGACACCAGGGTTTGTGCAATAGTCTGTGGTTTAAGCAAACTAGAGTTTATGGTCATATCTGAATGCAGTCTGGTTGGTACTAGGATCTGGTCAGTGTTGCTAAGGAAATTTTCCTCTCCTTTTATTTTACCTTGAAGGTGCAGTCTTCAGTAGCAGTGGGCACACCTGACTATATTTCTCCTGAGATCCTACAAGCAATGGAGGATGGCATGGGAAAGTATGGGCCTGAATGCGACTGGTGGTCTCTGGGTGTCTGCATGTATGAAATGTTGTATGGGGAAACACCTTTTTATGCAGAGTCGCTGGTGGAAACATATGGGAAAATTATGAATCATGAAGTAAGAGCTATTGAATTATACATTCCCTAAAATTGCTTACTCTTGAAATTGCATATGATAAAATATCTACAATGGTTTTTTGGGGTGGGGGTGGGTGATCGGGCCATACCAGGGCCTTGCTGTGGTAAATATAAAATCTAGTTCCAGATTACTTATTCAGACAGTCGCATCCCATCTGTATTTGGAACACGGCAGGAATAAGTAATTATCAGAATTCTTCAGAAATTCCAGTATTTTCCTTTGGAATTGTCAGGATTACCCCCCCCCCCCCCCCCGCTTTCCCCCGTTTATGCGTCCCTCCCATGGAAAGAGGTATTTTGTTAAAACAGACAGATTTTTCCTGTTTGACATCTTTTGGGGAGAGAGAATAATATGCATAGCGCTTAAGTTGCAGTCCTCGACTTCCTTACATGGAAGTAGATTCCATTAAAACCAGTGGAACTTATTTCCAAATAAATACGGTCCTGATTGGCAATGCTAATTTGCTTTGCTTTGAAGTCACGCTTATTAATATTGACTGCATGATGCATATGGTCTGAATCTGGTTTATTAAAATCAGTTTGCAGCATTAAAGATGAAAACAGGAACGATTAAAATTCATCAGCCTCACTTATTATCGGTTAGGGAGTTTACCATCCACAAGGCTTTGGTAGTGATTCCTGATCTGAGAAATTCCCTCAACTTCCAAGTTTGGTTTGAAATATTCTCCTCCCTTTTGAAAAGGAAAAGTAAAGTCACTTAAATTCCATTGTGCCTTTTCTGTTAGATTCTACCAGACAGTTTAGGGTGGGGGTCCCCAAACTCTTTTGAGCCTGTGGGCACCTTTGGAATTCTGACACGAGGTGACAAGCGCAGGCCCAAAACGGCACCATGGGAGGCAGAGCCAACCACAGACAGTGGAAGCCCAAAGACAGGGGACAAAAGGTGTAATTTTTAAAAATACACTGGGAATGAGGAGCGAGAGGTAATAAAACCAACACTGTAGTGGCAGCTGCCACCGAAACAGTGTTATTTTAATCTGCACAGCCAGTCAGAAGCCCTGTAGGGCATGAGCGCCACCTTTCCCCCTCTCAGTTTTCTAAGAACACTTGGTGGGCACCTGGGAAGGTCAGCGGGCACCACGCTGGGGACCCCCGGTTTATGGATTTAAATATTGTGCCATTTTAATATCTCTTGTTTTTGTAATTGCTGATTACTGATTGTCTTAATAGATATTATTTTTAGTTGTGCTGTTGTTGTGAATTGCTCTGAGAATAATTACGTATATCATAAATGACACACAAATATTGTAAAGGTCTAAGTACCATCTTTTTCAAAGAATAAAGACTCCTAAGCCATAAATATAATCTGTATATAGAGATTATCCTTATTCCCTAAAGAATGAAATTGATAGACAAAATTCATCTTGTGCTTTCCTGAGGTTGTTAGGCACTGGGGAGAGAACCTTCCATTTTGTGAAAGATGCGTTGATTTGTCTGTATCTGTTCCCACCTTTTGCCCAAGGAGCTTGAGGGTTCTCCCCTCATCGGTTTTAGCCTCACAGACCTGCGAGGTGTAGGTTAGGCTGAGCAAAACAATGAGATCCAGTGTAGTGTACTGGTTAGAGTACTGAATTGGGCCTGGGGAAGACAGAATCCTTGCTCGCCATGAAAGTTGGTGGGTGAGCATGGGCCAGTCATTACATCTTTAAAAAATTACAAATAAGAACAGTGTGTCTACTGAATTGTCTTCGTTAAAAGTTAGAGCATAGAAAAATTAAGTGCTCGATAGAAAATCACATTTGTAATGCATTCCTGTTCCATTGGTTAATGATGGTCACAGAAGTGTGACATTAAGACATAAACAGCTTTCCAAAATCTATATTGCAGTTCAATCCACAGTAGTAAACTTTTACAAAGCTATCACTCATTTCATTATTTCAAAATTTCCCAAAGCATAGACTTAAATGACTTTTTAATTTTGTTGTCATATATTAAAGTCCTGTGCTCTTTAATTACAAGGTTTGGTTTATGCCTTTACTGTTATCATTGGACTGTTAACTTGTAGGCCATAGTGGTCAAACAACTGCAACTTTGTTTCCCTTGCTTTCTAACTCAACTCAGTAAACCCTTTCGTAAAAAATGTTTTCTTCCACAGCATTTTCTTATTCTAGAAATTTGAAACAAAGGCTTTCTTTCCTTCCCCCTTCCCCAGGAGAGGTTTCAGTTTCCATCCCATGTTACAGATGTATCCGAAGACGCAAAAGACCTAATTCAGCGGCTTATATGCAGCAGAGAACGCCGTTTGGGTCAGAATGGAATAGAGGATTTCAAGTTGCATGCGTTTTTTGAAGGACTCAACTGGGATAATATCCGAAACTTAGAAGCACCTTACATTCCAGAAGTCAGCAGTCCTTCAGACACATCGAACTTTGATGTAGATGACGATGTATTAAGAAACCCTGTGAGTGTTTCTTTTCTCCTTTGTTACGTAACATGGTGGCTTTCAAACAGTTGTGTTGGAAAGGTTTACCGGCTTGGGGGTGGGGGGGAGAAGAAGAGGAGGAGATTGGATTTATACCCCGCTCTTCACTATCTGAAGGAGTCTCAGAGTGGCTTACAGTCTCCTATCACTTCCCCTCCCCACACCCTGTGAGGTAGGTGGGGCTGAGAGAGCTCTTTTGAGAACTGCTCATGAGAGAACAGCTCTGAAAGAACTTGTGACTGACCCAAAGTCACACTAGCAGCTGCATGTGGAGGAGTGGGGAATCAAACCCGGTTCTCCCAGATTAGAGTCCGCGCTCCAAGCCATCTTCAGAGCTCCTTCATATTGCAGAAGAGTCCATGTAGCATTCTAGGGCACCTTCTTGAGTCACAATCCTGTTTGGTCTCCACACGAAATGACAGAGCATTCCAGAGTGCATACTCAGTGCCCTCCTGTGGCTGTGCATTGTAGTGATGGCAAACTCTTCTGGAGAGGTTTGTCTGCCATTACTGACCGTGTTATTGTGGAGACCTGATAAGCTTCCAAGTACGTTTGGGGTTTCCACAAAATGCAACTTAATGCACGTCTCAGAGGGTAGCCGAGTTGGTCTGCAGTGGAACAGCTAGACTGGAGTCCAATAGCACCATAGAGACCAACGAGATTTTCAGGGTATAAGTTTTGAGAGTCAAAGCTCCCTTAGTCAGGCATTTTATTTATTAATTGGATTTCTAAACCGCCCTCCCCTATAAAATAGACTCAGGGCGGTGTACATCACAGACCGATTTACAAAGTTCACAATTTCGAAAAGTCACGTTTGCATTTACAGTTTTAAAACATTAGTTGTAATGGATGGTGATAAAACTGAAAGGCATATGACACCGCCTTGGGGTGGGGGGAGGCAGGGAGAGAGACAGCACTGCCCGCTAGATGGAAGAACCTGTTACTGTCCTCAGCCAAACACCTGGCGGAACATCTCTGCCTTACGTGCCCTGCAGAATTGTATTAAGTCCCACAGAGCATGGATGTTGCTCTGCAGAGAGTTCCGCCAGGTTGAGGCCAGGGCTAAAAACGCTCTGGCCCTGGTCAGGGACAGCTTGGATATCTCCTGGGCCAGAGACCACCAGAAGGTATCTGGACTCTAGTCTAGCAGCCCCTGTAAAGTAACACTAGGGTATCTTTGCTTTAAACAGATGAATCTGCATAATGTATCTTGGTAAATAAAGCTTGTATATGATTGTCTGGTGGGTAGCCGTGTTGGTTGGTCTGCAGTAGAGTAGCAAGACTCAAGTCCAGTAGCACTTTTAAAGACCCAACAAGATTCCCAGGGTGTAAGCTTTTGAGAGTCAAACTGCATTGGTCCGATACAAGGAGCTCTGACTCTCAAAAGCATATACCTTGGAAATCATGTTGGTCGTCAAGCTACTACTGGACTTGAATCTCGCTCTTCTAACTGGTTAAAAGTTACTCACGAAATGTGGGAAATGCTTTAGTTTCTTCTGAAACGTCTCCCAATGACTTGTTCATTTAATTTTAAAATATTAAACACAGTTTTGTCTGACAGTCAATGAACCAACGTTTCCCCCTCACATTTGCTACCCTGGAGAGGTTAATGTTCCTAGTGGTGACTTTAGGATATTGAGCAAAATAAAGTATTTCTGCCAAAAAAATTTAGTTGACCACAGTGCATGGAGATTTTTTTTTTAAACTCCCGCCTGACTGTTAACACTGTACAATCCAGAATTCTGCTGCTTCAGTCTTCATTAGTTCTCAGCCTGACTGTATAGTGTTTTAAAACCAAGCATGAACATTGAGAGCCAGTGTGGTGTAGTGGTGAAGAGTCGTAGGCTCTAATCTGGAGAACCGTGTTTGACCCCCCACTCCTCCACCTGAAGCCTGCTGGGGGTGACCTTGGGCCAATCACTGTTCCCTCAGAACTCTCTCAGCCCCACCTACCTCACAAGGTACCTGTTGTGGAGTAAGGAAGGGAATGTGATCGTAAGCCATTTTGAGATGCCTTAAGATAGAGAAAGGCAGGGTATAAAAACCTGCTCCTCTTCTTCAAAGTGTGATTAAACCCCTTTATTATCCTAAAGGGGATGCATGTAGAAGAGATTCAAAGGTCTCTGTCCAGCAACCAGTAAAAGCAAAAAAGGAAAAGCGTATGTCTATAGCTAATTCTACTTACTACTTGTCCTGTCCTGAAGAGGAGAAGACATCACCAGACCAACTCATCCTGAGTAGTCACTCTTCTACCAGTCAGAGTTGGTGCCACACAGAAAGTTCACCCCTCATTCTGAGCAGGTGCCTCAGCTTTTTAAAAACAGCTCTGTCTTCCTTACTCTGTTAGCAGCTGCTTTTACCTAATAGGGAACAGTTAGTAGCCATGGTCAGAAAAAGCAAATCAAGACATGGTATGGGTATCTGCTCTAAAGGAGGATGAGATTTGTGTGGCTGGTGGGAAATAATATGCTCTCTTGTACAGAATTCCAAAATAAATTGAGTGGGACATCAATATGTTACCTTATTAGAAGACAGGAGAATCAGCCTTCAGCGATCAACGTTCTTTTTTAGATAAGGCCATTTTCAATATGTTTGTGTGGGTTTTTAATTACTTGACATCCATATTAAGATAATAGCGGGTGGGGTACGGTTTTTTCCACCCAGATTTGATTTAGCTTTAATCTTATTGACACCTTTTTGTAGGAAATGATACCACCTGGTTCTCACACTGGCTTTTCTGGCTTGCATTTACCTTTTGTTGGATTTACGTACACCACTGAAAGGTAGGTGAAAAAGTTCCCAAGACATGGGGGTTTGTGAAAAAATGCCTGTGTTCAGGTTATCAGATTTGTCATGCCTTTAGAATAATTTATTGAATTGCCCTGTAAAATGTTCATAATGATTTTTTGATCTTCTCTTATTTGTCCTTGCCTCCCTGTTGAAATAGACTGTTCTGTAGTGCCATCGTGGTACAAGGGCCTTACAGAGAGCCGTTAGTAAAAAGCAGCAGGTTTGTGTCCTAGAAAGCTTACAAACCATATTTTAGCTGTGGGGAACACAAGCATTTGGGTCCCAAGGACCATAATGATACTCAGAAGCACAGTTTTCTCTCACCTGCTCCTTCAGCAGCCTCCTGAGAACTCAAATGCTAATGCAGGAGGTTAAGGGACCCATGTAGGTCCTCTAGGGGGCGCTGCAGTGAGGAGGGAGAACTGGGCAGCCTCCCTTCTTGCACAACTGGAATTTCTTACGCCAGCAGAATCACTGCCGATGGGATAGGAAGAGGAGGGTGACGTTGCCCAATTTCCCCTCCTCATTGCAGCGCCCCACGCCAGGCAGCTTTTTACCCACAAGGGTCCCAGAACCTCCAGCACCAACTTTTTGAATGTCTCTGAGGGCTTGGGGGGGGGGGGGAGAGCAGGAAACAGCTACATCACCAAGCATCTTTGCGATCGTGCTTTGTGGGATCCAGCCCAAGAAAGGAGAGTGGTGGCAACAAGGGAGAATGTGAGAAAATGCAGCTAAGTTCAAGTTCCGTGCCAGGTGGGGATGAGGACAAGAGGCATTAAATGTCAGACAGTAAATGTGCAGCTCTTGGAAGTTGGCTTTACATTTTTAAAAAAAGAAGCCCCAGGTGGTAGCTGTCCCCAGAAGGAAGGTCCATCATCTAACCTTCAGGGTCATCTGGGTACAAATTTTTATCCCATTCCTCCTCCAAGGAGTTCAGGATAGCAATTCGGCATGTTGACTGTGTGGGTCCCAAACTCCATTTAGTCCTCGCAGACAGCCCTCTGTTGAGGATTTGGTTGAGAGTTGATCTCTAGCTCAAGGTTACCCAGCATGTTTCAAGGCTTTGTTTTGAGTCTCCCCGGTTTCAGCTACCTGCCTCAAACTGGTTACAGTGGTGAAAAGTCTGGTTCCCCAAAAGACTGTGGACTCGGCACTCGCCATGCAGGAATTTTTAAAAAACAAATCTGTATTTGTAGCAGAGGTAATGTTTAGGAGAGTGCTTGTCATCTAGCCGACCAGCAGGAGTATGGGCTTGTGGAAGATGTTGATGGTCTGCAGGCCTAGTTGCATATGAACCCGTGAAGCACAACTGTCTTCAGCTGATAGATCAAGATGGGTAGCCGTGTTTGTCTGTCTGCAGCAGTAGAAAAGAGCAAGAGTTCAGTAACGTCTCAAAAGACTAACAAAATCTGTGGCGGGGTGGGAGCTTCCGTGAGTCACTGCTCACGTCTTCAGATACAGCTGGAGTCACACCACTAGTCATCCAGCCAAGGTGGTTATTCTGATCGGCTGTGGCGCCCCAGGATTTCATGCAGAGGTCTTCCCCAGTCCTGATGCCAATCTTTACTGAGGATTATATCTGAAGCCTTTGTCTTGGAAAACCCGTGATCTGCCTCAGAGACCTCTCACATGTAAGGGAAGCCAACAGTCCTCCCTGGGAGACGTTGCATAAGCACACTCCTAAAACCCCAAGAGAGAAAAAAGGAGGCGGCGGCAGTGACATCCCATTTGCCTGTTCCCTGTCGTGTCTCCATTGAATCAGAAGCTGCTGCCACTGGTGCCCTCGTCAGCTTCCTCCCACTTAAATCTTCCTGAAGCCTGGGAAGGCTGGAGGGAGAGAGCTGAGGAGCTGCGCCTTGTTGCAGTTCTTCACCCGTAGACCTTGGTATGCAAGGCCAAACCACCTCTGTTCCTCTCTTGCCGTGAAAACCCTGTGGGCCTCTCCAAAAGCCAGCTGCAGCTTGACGGCATGTTCCACCACACACACCAAATGACAGGCTCACGGACAGTTAACCCGATACAAATGCAGTATATACCACGAGATGGCAACCAATATACACAGACTTGAAGCAGGAGAAAGATTTGAAACAGGAGCAGTATGCCAATAGAAGTAATTACAGAAGACTCCCGTCGATGTAGTCTTTAAGTGTGAGGATTCTTTGATAAAGATAAAGAAACGGGCTGAAAGTAAACCGGGACCCTGTCTCACAAGTCGCATTAGGAAAAAGTATATGCTGTAAAATCTTTCACAAGCTGTACTGAACAAAAGGATCTCCTGTTTTTTGTTATTACTAGTTATTGTAAGAAATAGACTGTGTTGTAGTTACATTGAGCACCATTGTGTTATTAGTAAATTTAAAGACGAGTCTGTGTATATTGGTTGCCATCTCACGGTATATATTGCGTTTGTATTACGTTCCACCACACAGCCTCAGCAGGTGCTTCCAGGTTGTCGAGTTTCCAACAGGAAACCTACTGCTCAGGGTCAAACGCAACAGTTAAGAGCATCAGTAGAGCCTTACTAGAGCAGCCTGGTGGTCCATCTAGTCTAGCCTCCTGTTTTACATAGTGGCCCAACCTCTTGCCCTGGAGAGCCAACAGCAAGTAGTTGTCATGGCCTCCCCACCCCAATGCTGTGTCCTAGTGCTGGTATTGAAAGGATTTACTACCAGTGTTCCCTCTAAGCTGAGTTAGTGTGAGCTAGCTCACAGTTTTTTAACCTCTGGCTCACACATTTTTGTCTTAGCTCAGGAAGGATGGCTCCAGAGCAAACTAATTTATGCAGCAGCCAAATCACCTGCTCACAACTTTAATGCCAGTAGCTCAGAAAGTAGAATTTTTGCTCACAGGACTCCACAGCTTAGAGGGAGCATTGTTTACTACCACTGGATGTGGAGAGTCAACCACGAGTGTTTCCTCCATTAGAATGTGTTCTGTTATGTATTCTGGTTCCAGCTGTTGTTCGGACAGAGGCTCACTAAGGGGGGTGATGCAGTCCAGCAGTATAACCAAAGATGAGGATGTGCAGCGCGACTTGGAGAACAGCTTGCAGATAGAGGCCTACGAAAGGAGAATACGAAGGCTGGAGCAGGAGAAGCTGGAGCTGAGCAGGAAGTTGCAAGGTGGTCCCTCTCAATTTTCCTTTAGCGCTGCACGCAGCAGAGCAGCGGAATATGTCAAATCTGGCTAAACATTGTGTGTTCTTCTTGTTCAATTTAAGAATCCACCCAAGCTGTTCAGTCCCTTCACGGTTCTGCTCGCCTAACGACCAACACCAACCGGGATAAAGAAATAAAGAAATTAAATGAGGAAATAGAGCGTTTGAAAAACAAAATAGCAGGTATGTGACCAGCATATTTTAATGGGTTTCTCCCCTTGTCCTGGAACAAGGACAAAATAATTCCAACAGTGAAGACCTGGTCCTTGTGAGTATCCTGCTAGAGCCCTGCTCATGTAAATGTGTGGCAGATTAGTTTCTAATGCGGCTTTCGAGAACTGTGGCAGGCAAAATGTTACATAGCATTTAGAATGTTTTTTTTTTTAATGAGAGCTTATCTTCTTTCTAAAGCTTCCTTCAGCCTGGTAGCAGGTACTCCCATGAGGGAATTCAAGAACACAAGACATCTGTACAGGTTCACTTAGATAATTTGATATTTTTTTTCCTCTTTCCATAAAAATCCCAGGTTATCTTCTTCACCTAATATTGCTTTCTTCCACAAAGGGGCAAGCTTTATCCATGGAACGTGATGCGAGTGTCACTCATTACAAAAAAAAATCATGTTGCTGCATATTTTACTTTAGTAAGATAACTTGCCTAAAGCAGATCCCTTATTCATTCACTTTTCTGAGAAGCCTCATTCTTATGCTGAAGTTATTAATCCTTCAGATGTCACCAGCAGCTTTTTATTATGGCCCTCTTAGTTAATTAGATATCCACAGCATATATGTGAGATGCCTTGCTTGAGATGCATGGGATCTTTGCTTCCAAATTTGTCTCAGTAATACCCGACCGGGATGACCCAGAATATTTCAATCTCAGAAGCTAAGCAGGGTTGGCACCAATGCTCCCTCTAAGCTGTGGAGTCTTGTGAGCAGAAATTCTACCTTATGAGCTACTAGCATTAAAGCTGTGAGCGAGCGATTTGGCTCCTGCATAAATTAGTCTGCTCTGGAGCCATCCTTCCTGAGCTAAGACAAAAATCTGTGAGCTGGAGGCTGAAAAACTGTGAGCTAGCTCGGACTAACTCAGCTTAGAGGGAACACTGGTTGGCACTGGTCAGTTCTTGGATGGGAGACCAAGGAAAGTAAGGGTTGCTACGCAGAGGCAGGCAATGGCAAGCCACCTCTGTTTGTCTCTTGCCTTGAAAACCCTACAGGGTCGCCATATATTGGCTGCGACCTGATGGCAGTTTCTACCACCAGTACATTATGGGGCAAAGGAAAGAAGGACAGGAACATCTGCCCTTCGTGCAGTGTGAACAAGGCTGCAGAATTGTCAAAACTCATATTAGCACACTGAATCACAGAATGTTTTCACTTAGCCATAATTAGTCATCTTCTTAAGGTGGAGGGAGGGAAAGCAAGTGTGTCTGCTCATTCTGAGAGTTAGTCTGGGTGGCAGTCAGTGTTCCCTCTAAGCTGAGTTAGTGTGAGCCAGCTCACAGTTTTTTTAGCCTCCAGCTCACACATCTTTGTCTTAGCTCAGGAAGGATGGCTCCAGAGCAAACTAATTTATGCAGTAGCCAAATTGCTTGCTCACACCTTTAATGCCAGTAGCTCACAAAGTAGAATTTTTGCTCACAAGACTCCACAGCTTAGAGGGAGCATTGGTGGCAGTCCATTTCAGCTTCTAATTGGCCTTTAGTACTGGGGGCAGGGGATCAGGGTGTTATTGTTTTTCTTCCCGCTCCCCCCCCCCAAACTACTTTTTTCCGTTTCTGTACACCTAAAATTCTGACAAGAAAGGTGGATTTGAAATGACACAAATCAGACAGTAACGCTTAATACTGTGACTGCATAAAACTGTTTTGAGCCCAAATATGAACAGGCTTTAATTTTCCTACAAAGTTTTGTGATTTCTGGTTTCAAATTTTATTTTTTCTTACTTCTTAGGTGGCCAAAGCAAAGATGTATCTGCTTTTAGATAGCTTAAGGTGCAACACTCGGCAGCACATTCGCTGGTTCTGGGTATACTTGCAATAAACAAATTTGAGGCAGCATAAAAAGGCCAAATAGTATTATTTTAGATGCTAACCATATTATGAATAATGCATTTTGTATTATTACAGCAGTAAAGATAGTTTAGCTTTGATAAAGTGAGCACTGAATAGGCATCAGTTTTTATGAGCATTTCTGTGTTCTTGCCTCACTCCCCTCCCAGAGGTTTTCCCAAAGTCTTCAGAACTTGTGGAAAGTTTAGCCTCTGTTTGCAGATAATGAGTAAAATGCAAATTCATCCTTTGTGTACCAATGATAGTAGGGCGAAAAAATGCACACGATCCTACAAATTTGGGGAAATTGGATTAGTTGCTCATCAGAGTTCACAACCAGTGGCCACCTTTTGCTAACCCGGCTGTTGGCATGATAACATCAGTTGGCATAGCGGAATGTGAGGAACCAAGGACTGCTGTCTCTTCCCTTATGGAACTGCTCGAGCAATCAATTTCTATTAGCAGAGGAAGAAGTTACTTCTTACTCGGTGGGCGGGGGAGTATTTTAGCATGGGAAATTTCCCCCCTTCCTGATCAGCAGGCAGGTCCTGTATTTAACTTCCTGACTCCACTGGTGGGAGTTGCTCTCTTCCGCATTATACTTCCTGCATAGGAAATGAGGATAGGCTGTTAGAGGAGCTCTGTCCTCCTTCAGTCACTTCTGCCTTTCTATTGTTAACTATCCTGCTTTTCTTGTTTCTTTCGTTCCTCCCGTTGTTCATGATGCAGAAAAGGCTCCTCCCCCACCCCTTCTTTTCCCTGTCAGCTTACTGCTTCCAGTCAGGCAATAGAAACACAGATTCTCAGAGAAGGATGCCTTTCAGGTGGTGTGTCATACGTCCTCCATGGAGGAAGGAGCGTAGTCGGGAGAGATGCCTTGCACTACAGGACCAATCAGGTCATTGCACCCAAGTCCTAGGGAAGGAAGTCAGGCTGGGGAAGGCTAGTCCCCGATTCAGAGGCGGAGTATCAGCACAGAGCTAAGAGGGAGAGTGACTTTGGCAGGCAAAATCGATATGATGGGAATGAGCCCAATACAGGGCTGTTTTTCAGTGCAGTCACACACCAGTCCCCCTCCATCCCCAGGAAATGCTGTCAGTGAAGAATAAGAAAAAGAGCTGGTTTTTTATACCCCACTTTTCTCTACCTCCTCCTGCCAACCTAGCAGTTCGAAAGCAAGAAATGGCAAGTAGATAAATAGGTACCACTTCGGTGGGAAGGTAACAGCGTTCCGTGCGCCTTGGCGTTTAGTCATGCCGGCCACATGACCACGGAAACGTCTTCGGACAGCGCTGGCTCTTCGGCTTTGAAACGGAGATGTGCACCGCAACCCTAGAGTCGGATTCGACTGGCTTTCGAGCAAGGGAACCTTTACCTTTACCTTTCTCTACCTTAAGGAGTCTCAAAAGTGACTTACAATCTCCTTTGCTTCCTCTCCCCACAACACGCACCTTGTGAGGTTAGGTGTCAGAGTCCTGCAGCAATCAGTTCGCCACACTTTCTTTCCAAAGGAGTAAAGTTTATTAGAGTCTGTAAGAGCAAGTCCATCTGCACATACATTTAGAAGAAGAGGAGATTGGATTTATACCCCGCCCTTCACTTGGAGTCTCAGAGCGGCTTACAAACTCCTTTCCCTCCCCCTCCCCACAACAGGCACCCTGTGAGGTGGGTGGGGCTGAGAGAACTCTGACACAAACTGCTCTTTTTCAAGGACAGCTGTGCCAGAGCTTGTGACTGACCCAAGGTCACATCAGCAGGTGCAAGTGGAGGAGTGGGGAATCAAACCCGGTTCTCCCAGATTAGAGTCCGTACACTTAACCACTACACCAAACTGGCTCTCTTTAGTGTCAGGATTGGAAATAAGCGTGCGTAGCCAAAAGATATACATGATTCAAAAGGTCAGGGGATGGTCTTGGGCCAATCAGAATAAAAGCAAAAGCCCACCTAAGCTAACGGGCTATACATTCCCAGAGAATAGAGCAACAAGGTACCAAGGTCACAGTTCCAGGCTACCGGGTGATAAAGAACAGGGGGAATTGAAACATAACATTCCACAGCATGCGTAATTCATCCAGCAGCAAGCATCCTCCCCATCCCAACCATGGCAGCTGCATATCTGACAGTAGGTGGTGCTGAGAGAGTTCTGAGAGAACTGGGACTGGCCCCAAGGTCACCCAGCAGGCGTCATGTGGAGGAGGAGTGGGGAATCAAACCCGGTTCTCCAGATTAGAATCTGCCATTCTTAACCACTACACCACGCTGGCTCTCACAGATGGTGCGCAGAGAGCAGAAACGTTAGCGGGGGCTGTCATAGACCCAGTCGCCCCTAGTAGTTGTAAAATGGTTGAGGATTGTGGTGGCTGAAGAGTTAATTAGTGTGCAATCAGATGTACCCACAACTAGCCACAGCAGGGCACAAAAGCCTTAGGGGGGGAAAGCCCCTTGTACTCCCTCTCTCTTCTTAAAAAATAGACCCAGACAGAGCTGCCCTGCAAGGCTGCCGAGACTTCAGGAAGACTTTCTCCTACTGGAAATTTTGGAAAACCCGGCCAACAAAGGCAGCAGAGAAGCTGTGCCAGACAGTTCTTATAGCAGCTCAGGATGAGGCTAATGGAACCCAAAACTACAGATCATTCCTCAGACAAAGAGGATTGAGAAATCTTTGAGGAGTTTAAAGAGACTGAACAAACCAAACACCTTTTTTAAGCACGAAGATTTTCCTTCTGTTTTGACTGAAACAGTCAGAAAGCTTGCTGTGCTGAAGAGGCAAAAACATACAGGGTAACCCAAAGAAATGAGAGATGTTCCCAAGAGGCAAAAGTGCTGAGAGGGTTATCTTATTTCCAGGCTTCTTTGAAATGGAAATGAAAAGGAAGGATGAGCTACGCCTTTATCTAATAAGCCTAATGATGTCATGGATTTTTTTAAAGGAATCCCCTGGTGGATGCTCCTAAAGGCACTTTTGTTTCAGGCGTAGTTGTCCATAAGGACATGGAATGCTTCCCAAAGAGCTAAGTTGCCCTCAGGTCTGAATTTGCCCTGATGAGGTCACGTGAATCCTCAGCATTGCCTATAAGAGCTCCAGCAGCAACATTACTTGCCAGTGCCTCGGACCTATGGTATTACAGTT